CCAGTAAACAAAGTCACAGTCACCACTTCCGCTGCATAGCTCGCTGAGCATCCCATTGCTTTGTAAGTTGCTAATCCCTTCCCACTTTGACGTGCTCTTAATTTTCTTTTTTTCTCTTCTTCCGTGGTTGGTCTCACCCTCTCCTCAATTCAATTGGCTGTCTTGACATGCCACGAGGTGCAGAAATAAATAAAATAAAATAATAAAATAATTTTTTATTTTTTATTTTTTTATATTTTTTTATACGAAAGTCCACTATATTCCCGAATATGTGCGAGAAGTGGTGGCGGGGCCAGGCTGCTCTGCCGACCTCAAAGGTCTCGGCGTCTACGCAGACAAAGCGCGCCATAATGCAGTATGAAGAGGGGAGGAAGAGGGGAAATGAATAATACTAGTGAGAAACAAGGACAATGGGTAGATGGTCGTGAGAGAAGCAGAGTGAAAGATAACGTCACATTGTGGTAAGGGGGGGGGGGGGGGGAGGATGCTAGTGAGGCACTGGTCTAAACCGTTTCATAGGGCGTCGGTGGCTGCTTGCCAGTTCAGGTGCAGCAGATACTTGTTGCATTTTTCCTTGAATGATTGGAGCTGTCTGGGTTGCGGCCGTGCTGGTAGAATGGTCGCTGGTAGGCTGTTCCACAAGGGAATAATGCAGTCTGGGTAGGAACCCTGGAGGCTGCTACGAATGCGCACGGGCAGCGTCGACTTGAGCTGGAGCGGGTGGCAGTGGGCAGTCTCCGTGGCTAACCTAGTGGATCGACCACCCACTGGGCGGGGATTGGCTGGAGGTGGGAGGATGGGCTTCAGGGGGCTTGTTGTTGGAAGGTAAGACAGCTTGAACGTGAACGAAAGCGCAGCAACCAGTCTGCGGTGTTTCAGGCTGGGGAGCCAGGCGCCTGGGCCACTCACCTTCAGTGCCTTGTGCTGGATTTTGTCCAGTCTGGATGTACCTGACCCCATCCACACCAGGCAGCAGTATTCCATTGTTGGCCGCACGAAGCCTTTGTAGACTGCCGTGCGGCCGCTGGAGTCCAATAGGGGCGCAACCTTTCTCAGGAAGTGTAGGCGTTGGGCAGCCTTTGAGGCCACGGTCCGGAGGTGTGCTGCGTGGGACAGATGCGAGTCGAATGCTATGCCCAGAAGTTTAATTTCCTTTTCTTCAGGAACAGTCACTCCATTGAAGAGCACTGGTGGGAACGCTGGGGGAGGCTTGCGGTGGTCGATGATGAGGGTCTGAGATTTGGATGGCTCGAAGGTGACCTTCCACTTGGAACCCCAGTGGGAGACGGCGTCCACTGCTTCCTGGAGTTGTGCTGCAGAGTCGGATATGCTGGCGGTGGCAGAGATGCACTGATACAGTGTCGTGTCATCTGCATACGTGGCAAGCTCAGCACCAGCAGGCAAGGTGTCCTCGCAGTCGTTTACGTACAGGAGGAATAACGTTGGTCCAAGGATGCTACCTTGTGGTACCCCTGCTTGGATATGGTGCAGGGAGGACTCTTGGCCGCCCACAACAGCCTGCAGGCGCCGGTTGTGCAGGTAGCTTTCCAGCCATCCGAGAAGCGGGCCGTCTAGACCGTACACGGAAGCCTTATGCAGCAGGCCAGCATGGCTGACTTTATCAAAGGCGCCTGCTATATCTATCGCCACAACATGGCCGGCTCCTCCTAGGCCGGCTGCTCTGGACCATTCACAGTGGAGCTTGGTTAAGACGTCGGCTGTGCTCAGGCCCTTTCTGAACCCGAACTGTTTCGCAGAGATGACATTGTGGGACTCCACGAAACTGGTTATCTGACGATTGACAATTGTTTCCATCACTTTGGATATGATAGACAGCAGAGACACAGGTCTGTAGTGTTCAGGCAGGTTCTTGGATTTCTTCTTGTGAATGGGTGTGACTCTAGCTGTCTTCCAGGATGTCGGCATAACCATGCTGTAGAAGCTAAGGGAGAACAGTTTGGAGAGTGGCTTACTTAGGGGGTCAGCACACATCTTCAGAACTCGCGCGGGAATGCAATCCGGTCCAGTAGCTTTCGATGCATTTAGGCGCCGGAGTTCTCTCTTGACAGTGGCAGGGCGGAACCGAACCGTTGAGAGCTTTTCAGCCGTGCGCTGAGCAACGTGGGGGAAATCAGTCGCTGATTGGTTGGCGGGGAAGTCGTCGGCGCCCAGGCTGCACTTTGAGGCGAAATACTGCCCAAAACACTCAGCTTTTTCGGCATTCGATACGCATTCAAAACCAGGCTGCGGCGTGAGAGTTGGGATGGACGTGTTTCTGCTGCTGCCACCTGCTTGCTTGATGGTAGACCACCACGAGCGGTCACTCAGGCGAGCTTTAGAGAGCTTAGTGCGCAGGGTAGCCAGGCGGGCCACCTTGGCATGCTGGAGCGTGGAGGATGTCATTACAACGTAGAGTGGCTGCTGAGGCTGTCTGCCGTCTGGCAGTAGCCCAAGCCCTCTCTTTTGCTTTTATGGCATCGGTGCACTCAGGGAGGGGTCCACCAAGCTGAATCCGTCGGCCGAGATGTGAGTTGCCGGGATGGGATGAAGGCGTGACATACCCTGGAGGATAACTTCGGAGATGTTGGCACACGACTCATCAGCGCTGGTGGTGAAGGCAGTTGACCAGTCATAGGCTGGGAAAAAGTGACAGAGGCGGTTCCAGTCTGCTTGGTTGTACCGCCAGACTGTGCGTGTGGTTTTTGGTTCACGGAACGCAGAGATAGGGAAGTCCATGGTGAGGACAGCGTGGTCAGAGGACCCCAGTGGGGCATGGCATTTCACCTGAACCGGTTCACTGAAGTCAGACATCACAAGGTCCAGGGTGTTGTCTCCACGTGTGGGGATGTTGACATGTTGCTCCAGGCCATGAACATAGCAGAGTTCCTCGGCTGCTTCTCCTGCCGAGGTAGTCTTGGTGCTCCCTAGCCATGCTGCATTGTGGACATTGAAGTCCCCTGCGAGGATAACATAGTCACCGTGGCTGCGGGCCTCATCTAGGTGGGTATCAAGGTATTCGATCAGCTCGGTGTCTGTCCCGGCTGTGGAGCCTGATCGGTAGAGTCAGTGCACAGATAACAATCTTGGACCGGCTAGCTGTTGATACAGATATCCATATCACTTCGTGGTGTTCCGTGCTGAACCGGTCCAGGTGCTGGAAGGCCATGTTTGATTTCACCCAGATGGCAACTCCGCCTCCATGAGCGTTTCTGTCATGTCGGATTGGGGGAGCGTATCCGGACAGACAGACCTCACTGTCAGTGACCTTTGCGGTTGAGAATTTTGTCTCCGTAACAGCGATGACATCAGGTGAGGAGCACTTTGCAACATGTGCAAGTTCACCAAGCTTTGACTTTAGGCCAAAAGCATTGGTGAGTAGGAGCCTGAGGAAGCGCTTCATTGGTGACCATGTAGGTCATGTTGTGGCGCAGATCCGTTTGATCTCTTCAGGTCTCCAGCCTCTGGTGGGGAGAGGTGGGAGTTTCTCCGTTTTTGGCCACCAGGCAGTGGAGTGGAGATGATGTCTGCCGGTGGTGGTGCTACTACATTGAGCAGCAGTTTCATAGACTCTAAGCCGGTTGCTAAGGTCGTTACTTATTTTCTCTTTTCGTTTGTCCCTCTTGATATTTTGTACTTTGTACTCGTATCGGTTGAGGCAACGAACTGAAACAATAAAAACCAAACCAAACCAAACTTTATGTCGGCATGCTGTCCAAGTTTGGTGCGATTTGGAGCACTTTGGCTGTTGCTAGGGTGTTGCTATGGCCTTCTTGAAACCCGTTTTGTGCCGTGCTTCGTATACAATCATGTACATGTACATGTACTTGCCGATGAAGGGTACCCACCCGTATTCAAATGATCATAACTCTGGTTTCCCTTGGCCGATTTCTCTGATTTTTTTGGCTGGTTGATAATCACATCCATATCTTTCATCATGTGATTGCACATCACTGCAGTATGCACTGTTGACAACAAAAAACCGCCTGAAATCCCTTATTACTAAACTTACTTAGGCAGGGAGTCGTAAAATACCCTCCTATCCCTGTTACCAAGAGTACACAACCCCAGGGGGTTATGTACTCTTGCTGTAAATAATTAATTACCAAAAGTCCATATGCACTCTTGAAATTACTATTATCAAGAGTACATAATTTATGTGCTCTTGCTAATACTAAACCAGGGAGTATAGTATTAGTACTAAGGCCACCCTTTCTTTTTTCGTTGTTTAACGTCCGCGCCCGCGTACCTTTTTGCCTCCGACCGGAAAAAAAAACAAGAAAGTAGTAGTACCAATAATATGCAAAGTTGTAAATACATGATTGTGTAGTTTCACAGTGTGCCGATCATGACCTTAAACTTATAATCTTGCCTCCCGGGCATGCCTTTGTCTTGTGTTCTTTTTCTTTTTTTGTTGGCTTTAATATCGTACGGTGTGTGCCCTAGTAAAAATCCAGATGTATGACATGCTAACTCCATGCTATGTACTTGTTTTGTTGGATTCATCAGGCATGTGCTCCAATGTACCATCAAAGAGTGTTGTTCTATGCCTGCAAGTGCCGTTAGACCCAGAAATATTGTATATATCACATGCTTTACTGGTCAAAATGTCTGATTGGGGTTTCCAGTTTTTGGAATGGGCTTTTGTTTTTTTTCGCCCTCCCGATCCCGCGTACCTTTTCGCGAAAAAAAAGGACGTTAAACAATGAATTAACAAAGGGTGCCTACAAAAAGTTAAATACCCTGTACATGATTGTACTAAACCAGGGAGCCCTACACATACACGTATGTGTAGGGCTCCCTGTACTAAACAAGGTTTGTGCATGACATAATATGTATGAGCAGACATACGCCAAAGTGTCTTTGTCATGACTACAATGGCGTCAAAACTTGAAAAAGGCAAAAAGACCAACAACAACAAAAAGTATCGACTGTGCATGTGATAATAATAATAATAATTAATTTTATGATCAGCGAGTGAACTGTATTTTGAAAAAATAGCAATGTTGATGCGATGAGAACTTGAACTTGAAGTAAAGTAGAACTCTCTGAAAGTCAGTGTGCTATTCCCCCTTGAAGTTAGCCTTTTACGAAGATGGAAGTGGACATGGAATCCCAGCCCGTTCACTATACCGTGGTTGGCTCAGAGAAAGGCACTTTGAAAGGTTAGAGTAGCAGCTGCATTGTTATTCAACTTGATCGAGTTTGTGTCATCCTGGCTGTGTTCCAACAATACTATTTTTGGACTGCCTTCTTCTTCAGAGCCGGACTGGAATGGAGGATCATTTAAAAACTTGAGTGAAATTGATTTGGATTGGTCGAAGGGGACCGTGCATTTGTCTTGGAACAACGAAGAAGAATCTGAGGTAAATTTGGCTTTACGCAGAGTTGTACGTACCTTTATTTTTTGGGATGTGTCAGCATAGTCTTTGTATACTAGTATATAGAGCAATACACGTTGGATAAGACGATCAGAAAGATGAAATTACTTGTCGAATGCACTGGATCTTGCATGGTGACATTGTCAGTCTTAAAAAATCTGCACTTTATGGGCTCTCACCAGTAGAGTTTTGTAGTTTAGAGAACATCAAAGCATTTTATCTGATGAGCTGAAAAGGTCAAGGGTGGAGTGTTCTAACTTCAGGAAATATGGCGAGCATTGCATAGTGCAGTGTTCACATAATTATACAGGCTGTTGCTCAGAGATTGAGGAGACGGTTGTACTCGTATCGGCACCCTGCACTGTACCCCTATCCGTTTCTATATGCAGTTCCCCTTCACTGTACTGTACACACTCACACTGTATGCACGCACATCATTGACACTGTTTGTAGGCATCGTATTACGGAGTTTTCCGGAGCTCTGAGAAGTTGCGTGGAATAAAGCAATATAGAAATGCATGTACCACAATGGCCCTGTGAGCAAATGCCTAATCCTGAGGCCCCCGCTTTTATTTCCGGCAAGTCATGCAGCAGCATGCAAATCCGTTGATCCATTCTGCGCTCACTTGCTGGCAGCGACTGCCACTTGCAGCTTCCCCAATGATGCCCTGCAGCACGTAGCCCTGTGTGACCAAATTGAGGTCAGATGTACATCTGATCTGCTCCGCTGGAAACTGCTACTGGAGACGATGTCTCTCGGTCTCGAAGGCCGTTAGAGCCATCGGGGCCTCCTTAGACTAGAGTAGACTACAGTGTTCCGGCACACGCAAGGTACAGCCAATGCTCTCCATCATCTACAGTCCATTTCAAACATATAGACGCATGGTATTTTTGAAATATTTCGAATTTGGCTGGAGCTTTTTGAGAATTTTTTTCGGAATATTGCTCAGATCTTTCACGCAATTACTGTCATAATTATAGATTTTTAAGCGATCGGATAGCAAACGCCCAATTTCGAAATTTTTATGCACAAAGTGATCACAGATTTTATGTGGTATAGATGCTGGCCTAACGGTTTCTTGAAATCACGCGTCTATATTTTTGAAACCCACTGTAGCTGCACCCATGCTCATCTAGCTGGATGCTCACCAAGAGTACATACCCCCCCCCCCCCCAAGAGTGTGCAACTCCCACATACTAGTACCTTGCTGTCCCGACAGAATTTCAAGTTGACATAATTTTTTTATGATGCAATGGTCTTCGCACGAGTGATTTACGATGTTTGTACAGGGTTTCAACTTTCAACGCATCACACATGTTTCCTTGTACAATGTCAAGCCGGATTTGTCCGCCACAGGTCCAGGATACATCTCATTATACGTGTACAACGCACATTGCATCATAAAATGACGTCAACTTGAAATTCTGTCGGGACGGCAGGGTATGTGGGAGTTGCACACTCTTGGAGGATTATGTACTCTTGCTGCTCAATCATCTAGCTGCAGGCACCCTCATCTAGGTGGACGCACCCTCATCTAGCTGCAAGCACGCTTATCTTAGCTGCATGTACAGCTTCTATTGGTACATGGTGAGGTTCGGCTTCAACGGTGGTCACGGATGCTCGAAACTGCAGACTTATAGTCCATTTCAAAAATATAGACGCATGGTATTTTTGAAATATTTGGCTAGAGCTTTTTGAGAATTTTTTTAAGAATATTGCTCAGGTCCTTCCCGCAATTAGGGCGCGTTCAGACTAATGGAAAAGTTGCCAAGGTGATTTGATCACGTGACGTTACTGGCACGTTACCGGCGGAAAAGTTTTTCTGCTGCGGCTGCTGCGGCAGTAAACTTTTCCCGGCAGTAAAAAAGTACTCAGGCTGCATGTGCGCTGGGAAAAAGGGAAAATCCCTTCTCAGCGCCGCGGTGAGAGGTGCAAAACGTACGTACCGGTAACGTTAGTTTATCGGTAGTGTGAATGTCCTTCACGGTTTATCGGCATTCACGGTTTGACGGGATTCACGGTAGTCTGAACGCCCCCTTACTCTCATATAGAGTTTTAGGCGATCAGATAACAAACGCCCAAGTTCGAAATTTTTGTGCGCAAAGTGATCACAGTTTTTATGTGGTATAGATGCTGGCCTAACGGTTTTTTTGAAACCACGCGTCTATATTTTTGAAATGCACTGTAAGCAAGCCAAAGCTGTGGCAGTTCAAAAGGGTTCATGCTTCTGTCTGCGTGTAAGGAACATAACCACTTCAAGAAGGCTGCTGAAGCTTTACCACATTCATCAGCCTAGGCCTGTGGGACTGCCCTATTCAAAATTTAATAATAATAATAATAATCTTAGTTTGAGTAGTTTGAGGGAAAGACAATAATAATAATAATAATAATAATCAGTGGCAATGAATACTAAGGAAATAATGGATGATCGCTCAACCGCGCTCACCCATTCTTCGTAAGAATGACGCCTCTCTTTCCCACGACAAGCGCATGTAGAGTGTAGAGACTGCCAAGTTTGATGCAGCATAGGGATTAAACACCCTTACATCGAAGAATGTGCGCTCAAATGGGCTGCCCCACCCTTCACTCACTGCAATGTCCAGTTGAGTACCGTCATCCAAGATGGCCAAGAAGGCGACGATGTTCAGACAGGGGCTGTAGGCGGTGGGTTGATGGCAACTTCACTGGCTACCTCATCGACCAATGTAGCCGTACCATTACGGAGCTCGTTTTGGCGCTACCTGCCTGGTGGGCGTGACAGTGTATGTGCGACATCACTGCGTGGTCCGCACTCTACTATGCATACGTACGGTGTACGACTGGGCTGTGCGAATCACTGAATGTGAAACCGGAATGCATGGGCGTTCACACAGTGCGTCGGACATACGTTTGCTAAACTGGGCTCTATCTTGCAAGATTTTGTCCCATATTTTCCCTTTTTGGCATGCACGTGCAGGCTCTGGGATGTATCCTTGATGTGTAAACTGTTCTTCAAGTAATAGTTGTCTTGTGTGTATTCCAAAGTACTGTTTTATGTACGGGTTCATTTGATTTCATTGGGAGAGGTATTGTATCTGTTGTCTGCATTAGCCTTTTGTCTTCATGATTGTGTTTCCCACATATGCCTGTGCTGCTGTTCGACATGCCCAGATACTCGTGGGCAGATTGTCAGGCGCACTTGAAGTGTTCTCCTTGTCTGAGAACAAGATACTACGACATGGTGTGTGCTCTGCCGCTGTCTCCGAAGCAGCCACTCAGGAGGGAATAGCGCGACTTGACAGGTAAGGCCTTGTTTCAGCAATCAACACCAGGAAAGCAACAGAATATATAGGTCATAGTTATGATGAAGTCTGAGAACGGGAAAGAGCAAGAATGACCTATCTGTAAAGAGAAAAGGACCTATAAGTTACTAGTTATGACTAACAGTCCACCAAGGTAACGAGATAATAATTAATACAGCCAGATAGTGCGACAACAACGCACAAAACTGACAAGGATATTGAGACATTTGACCACCTGACACCTAGTTCCAACACATCTACGAAGCGCGAACCAACAACCTTCCAACTTGAAAGGCTCAGGTGCGAACAGTTCCAATGAGGGGAAGTTTTGTGCCTTGTTGTCGCACTATCTGACTGTATATTATCTCGTTACCTTGGTGGACTGTTAGTCATGACTAGTAACTTATAGATCCTTTTCTCTTTACATATTACTATTGGCTCAACATCTGAGTTCTTAATGGCCTATCTGGTTTTTCTTTCGCCAGTGGCGGACTATATACAACAAGCAAGCAGTACATGAAGCATGGTACAGCTTGTACAGACTGGCAATGAATTAGCCATACTGTATCTTTATCTACCTATGTGAAGTCCACCTGCGCATTTGCCACGAGCATCCGCCTTCACCTTGGCCTCTTCCTGGCAAACCTGTCGACCACCGCGTCGATGTCTAGACGGACATTGGTGTGCACAAAAAGTAGCAGCAAGTCATTGAGACGCTGATCGCCCATTGTGCTGCACACCTTTGTCTTAACATACACATGTGGGGAGTTACTGCATTCCACAGTTGCTGTAGTGACGGGTGCAACCAGGATGATCCTCAGTATCTGCCGAACAATTGGAAAATTGACTGGTGTGGCCTCGAACAAGGCAGCGGCGAGGGATAAGGGCAGAGGAAGACCACTGTTCTTGTGCAGCTCCCACTTCTTCCGCCATCTCGTCACTCCCTCGGTGAATGTATGTGGCTCAAGAAGGGCAGGTAAGTAGTGGATCTTCAATGCGGTTTCTTTCTCTTCAGTAAGATCCTTGAAATGGACTGGTAGATGGAGAAGTCCTTGGACTGCAGCAGAAGACACCGCTGAGAATCGGTTCTCAAACTCACACAGCAAATGGAAAAAAAGCTTAAAAAATGTACAGCGCGCAAAAAAAACTTCAAGTACGCGATGTATGATATGTCTACAGATAGCAAGAAGACATTTATTATAAAACAAATCTGAAGAGAAGGAAAACACAACTGAAGAGGCAAAACACATGAAGCACGGAAGTATCTCCCAAGCCAAGCAAGCATGCCGTTATGGTGCGAGGTCATACAACTGTGGTACAAATCTAGTACGGGAGTACATGAACTACAGGTCAAATATGGCATGGGGGAATCCATATACATCACGCCCCTTCGAGATAATGCTGAGAAAACAAATCCAGTATTATCTATCAAATCCAAACAAACAAACAAATAAGTATGGCAAGCAACGGCCTATAGCACACGGCGGAACAGACATAGCATGCCACACAAGGATACAGAAAGATACGATATGAGAACAATCCTCAAGAACATGTACACGATGTGTCCAGAACAAATCAAGATGCATAAGACTGTCCACGGGTGGAGGAAATGTTCAAACGAGAGGGTGGTTGGTGTGCTCGTGTGCTGCGACGCAGAGGAGGAGGCGTAGCAGGAGCAACGACAACAGACGGCTGTGGTGAAACGCATGGTGCTGGTGACGGCACGGGTGGAGAGAACGGACGAAGAAAACGGCGATTTCTCCAATAAACTCGACCACTAGCCAACTTGACGAAATAGTCACGGTGCTGCCCAATGGCCACAATCACGCCACGGGTTGTCCAACGCTTCGTCTTCGGATCCTGGACGTCCACAGGAGTGCCGATACGGAGAACGGGAAGAGAGCGGTGGGTGGGAGTACTGGCGGAAACAGGTGTCGAGGGTGGTGACTGTTCTTCACGCTCACTAGCGACGGTCGACCACGAGGAATCAAACTGCGTCCACTCAGCAATGACGAAAGACCGAAGTGGATGCCCGAGAAGATGCTCAGCTGGGCTCTTGCCAGACGGACCGGGCGTGTTCCGCCACTCCAGTAGACCACGACGAAATGCATCTGTGTCGAGATTGCCATTTGACGAGGTCTTGAGCAGCAAGCGCTTCATAGCTTTCACTGCAGCTTCCGCATGTCCATTACTCTGGGGGTAATGCGGGGAAGAGGATACGCGTTGCACTTGCCAACGGCTACAGAAGTCAGCAAACTTCTTCGATGCAAACTGGGGGCCACCGTCGGTGCACAGTACAGCAGGCACACCCAGATCGGCAAACCAACGACGACAAGCGAGAATGACATCGTGTGATGACGTGGTCCTGCCGGTTCGAACAACGCACGGCCAACCAGTCAGACGGTCGACATAAACAAGAAACTCGTAGCCTTGGCAAGAGAACAGATCAGCGGACACAAACTCGAACGGCAGAGTAGGATGACGGTCATTCATCGGTGGTTCGGCTGACTGCGACGACTGGAATTCTCGACACGCGGAACAGGCACGGACAAGGGTGTCTATGTCGGCGGTGAGACCAGGCCAGTACACGAGCTGCCGGGCGCGAGCCTTCGTGCGGACGAGACCTTGATGCGATGCATGAAGATTAGCAAGAACGCGTTGACGCATAGCCAAGGGAACAAGAATGCGTTGGCCTTTCATGACGATGCCCTGGTCCACTGACAGGTGCTCACGTCCATTCCAGAAGGGTTGGAGTGGAGCATCCAAATCACGCTGACGAGCGGGAAAACCATGCAGAACGCACTGGACAAGAGACTGATAGACTGGATCAGCTGAGGCGGCTGCTCGAAGTTCAGCAAACTTCAGGTTGGGGTGAGGACCATCATCACGGAGCATGCACACACGGATGCTGCGGCAATGAAGAGCAGGGGCTTCGCCGAGTTCATCATCTGAAGACGGGATGCCGACGGGATTGCGAGACAGCGCATCAGCAAACGCGTGATCAGAGCCTTTTCGCCAGGAAGCGTGCACTTGAAACGACTGCAGCTTCAGGCGAAGACGAAGAAGGCGAGGATTCTCGATCTGATCTAGAGAATACGCGTTGATAATCGGGATCAACGGACGGTGATCAGTGATCAGATCAAATAGGGTGCCGGATAAGTACAACTTGCACTTGTGCACAGCCCAAACGACGGCGAGCATCTCGAGCTCAACAACAGCATAGCGAGATTCGGCGTCAGAGAGGTAGCGGGAGCCACACTGGATGATTCGCCACTTATCATCCTGCTTCTGCCACAGAACGAAGCCGAGACCACGTAGTGCAGAGGCATCAGTCTCCAGACGGAGGTCGTGTCCATGCTGGTAGAAGGCCAGGATAGGAGGAGACAGCAGAGTAGACTTGGTCTTCTCGAACGCAACAGTGTGGTTGGCATCCCAGACAAATTCACGGGTCGTCTTCAACAGACCACGAAGCGGAGTGGTGCAGGCGGCGAGGTGTGGTGAGAACTCGCTACACTGGTTCACCAGGCCAAGAAACGAACGCAAATCAGTGCGGTTCGCAGGAATGTCAAAATCGCGAATAGCCGCTGCCTTGTCATCGTCAACAACCCAGCCGTCTGGACTGACAATGTAGCCGCAGAAATGGATGTGACGTGACGCAAAGGTGAATTTGGACGGGCTCAGAGTAATGCCATGCTGTCGAGCACACAGCAGGATGTCACGAACATGGGTGACATGGGAGGCAAAGTCGTCATCATAGGCCAGGCAATCATCTACAACCTTGGCGAAATTCGGGATTGCATCGAACGCAGCATCAGTGCGGCAGTTGAAAACATCCCCGGCGGAAATCAGGCCTTGAGGGTTGCGTAGGAAACGATACCTGCCGTATGGGGTGATGAATGTGGTCATTGGACATGCCTGCTCACTCAGTGGGATTTGCCAGTATCCGTGCCTTGCGTCAAGCTTGGTGAGGAATTGTGCCGATCCAATACCAGAAACCACATCGCGAGCGGTGCGAACAGGGTGGGCTGGTCTCAGGACTTGGTCATTCAGTCGTTTGAAATCGACGGTGAGGCGTTTCTCGGAGGTACCTTTCTTGTCGACGAGCACAATTGGGTGACACCATTCACTAGGCTCACTGACAGGCTCGATTATGCCATCGACAACCATTGTGTCCAGCTGTGACTTGACCTGGTCACGAAACGCGTACGGAATCGGGCGTGCGGTATGGACACATGACGGCTTAGCATCTGGCTGAAGTTGGATGTCCATCGGAGGACCTGCCATCGCCTTCAAGCCAGTGTCGGAAAACACGTCCGAGAACTCCTGCAGTAGCTCATCGCGAACACGAGCGATATCAGCAGAGCTCGGATTGACAACAGGCTTTGATACAGCACGGATCTTAGGTTGCGCGGCAGCATTAGCAGCAGGGTACTGTGCAGGCCAATCTGACGGGAGGAGCTGGAGTGCACTCAAGGACGAACGTGATAGAAGAGCATCGTCCAGACCCTTGTACACGTGGATTACGGTGCTGTGTTGTACTTCGCCAACCTGAAGTGAAGCACGAATACTGCCGACGTTCTGCAACTGCTCTCCAGATGCCGCTAGGACGCACTCTGGGTCATGGTCGAGGTTCTCGGGGAACCCGCCAAGCAGTTCGAGATGATGCTCGCCAATGGCATCGACGTCACTGCCAGTATCAGGGACCCAGGGTAGCGTGACTGCCTCATCCTCAGTGGCTAAACGGGTGGACACACGCACAGTAGGCTGCGCAGCAAGACGAGTACGCTGCAACTTCAGTTGGCCCACATGCTTCACGTTCCGGTCCGATTGTGACGACGACCTACACATAGCGAGAAAGTGACCAGTCTTGCCACAGCCATTACATTTCTTGCCGCTGGCAGGGCAACTAGACTTTGTGTGCGGGCTCCGGCCGCAATTGGGGCACTTCTTGTGTGTGTCGCTTCCTGACGAGGGAGCGGATGCAGATGGCAATACAGGTGCAGACATCTTGCTGCCAGGCTGTCCCTGTCGGGATTGTTGCTTACTGCGTTGGTACGCGGACCGCCGCACAGCATTGAGCTGGCTGGTGGACGGGATACTGCTGCTCGTCGTGGTAGCCGCTTCCTCCGCCCGGCAAATTGTGACTGCATCGTTCAGGGTCAAGTCCTTGGCAGACAATAGCTTGTGCCGGGTAGCGTCGTCACCAATTCCAATGACAATCCTGTCACGCAGGGTGTCAGCACGCACACGTGTCAGGCTTGTGCGACAGGTACTACATGTGTGTGCTGAACATTGTGAGCACAAAACAACGTCCGGAAAATCACAGCTAGTGTGTAATTCTTTCAACGAAGTGTAAAAACAATCGAAAGACTCGCCTTTCGACTGACACCTGTCGTAAAATGCGATACGATCCAGGAGTGGGTTGCGCTGCCGTCGCAAATATTCCTTGACTGCAGAAATCACATCGTCCGCATCGGGATTCGGTGGAGTCACGATTATACCCTCGCGGAGAAATCTGCGTAGCTCCTCATCAAGAGCTTGCCGCAGCGAGGATACTCTGGTCTCACGGCTCTGGGCTGACAGGTGCTGGCACTCATAATAGTCTCGCCACATTTCCTGCCATGCCGTGAAGTCGGCTAATGTCGAGGACGACAGTAAAATCGGTCGCTCCGCAGAGACAGGCTTTGGAGCTGGTGATGTGGTGCTGGGTTGCACGGGTTGTTGTGTTGGTTGTGTCAGTCGTTGTATAGTTTGTTGGAACAGGTCAGCCATTTTACGTTCCCTCTCCTCTGAGGACTTCATTTGTGCCGCCAACATCGCGGTCAGGGCAACAATGTCAGGAGCAGGGTCTGAGTCGGACATCGTGGTCGCAACCTACGCAAATGCCAGTATCACGAACAAACTACAAAAAAAATCGGCCAGTGCGCAACACAACGAGGTGCAAACACAAAGCACGAGAAACTAAACACACAGGTGAGTTCTACAAGGAACGAACAGTTCACTGCGCCATGATATGTCTACAGATAGCAAGAAGACATTTATTATAAAACAAATCTGAAGAGAAGGAAAACACAACTGAAGAGGCAAAACACATGAAGCACGGAAGTATCTCCCAAGCCAAGCAAGCATGCCGTTATGGTGCGAGGTCATACAACTGTGGTACAAATCTAGTACGGGAGTACATGAACTACAGGTCAAATATGGCATGGGGGAATCCATATACATCAATGTACACCATGCACGTGCTCGTCTGAAACTGCACATTCTCAACAGACAAAGTTGGCGGCCCTAAAAGGGGGCCACGTGCCGCCTGTCTGGATGCGCCACTATTGAGTACAAGAAGAAGCTTGCAAACCTGAAGAATAAATAGAAGAAAGTACTTGCTGCACCGATTGCTAATACATCTTAGGGGCCTATTATATGTGCAACTCCAGCCCGGGCTGGAGCGAGCGGGCCAGCCCGCCAAGGGTGTTTACATGTGCAAGGCCGGGCTGGTTGCCAGCCCGCAGTGAGTTTATATGCGCTGAGCACACGCCAGCCCGTTGTGAGTATGCAGTAAACACACTACGACTGTAGTGTGCTGCCCCGGGCTGAAACGCAGGGCTGCAAGCCATACTCACTGTAACCAGGTAACTCAGGTTATAAACCAAAAACTTTTTTTCTCACACAATTGTATTCTTCTGCTGATTTCTTTTCGCGCTGTAGCACATGTTTGGTGTTTTGTATCACCTCGTTTCTTTTTCCTGTTTTTCACATTTTTAGCTGTCCATATCAAAGTATTTTGCAAGTAGTTCCCCTTCCATTTTAATGTAAATCATGCATGTCGACAAATAAACAGTGCTCACTGTACGTCCTTCTTGTTGCTGTACAAAAAGCTTCATAGATTCTCAAGACAATATCGGGAATCCTCTTTATAACTTCCCTCAAAAGGTAAAAGTACCTAATTTGTAGTATGAACGCAGTGTCGACACCATAATAATACAACTCTGGCCCGGGCTGGTCTGTTTATATGTGCTTTTTCTGGCCCGCCTAGCCGGGATCCCGGGTGCCTCGAGGCGGGATCCCGCCTCGCCGGGCCAGCCCGCTTGCCATGTAAACGCACCACGGGTTTTGTGTGGATTTGCGTACAACCCCGAGATCCCGTTGCAGGCGACCTGGCCCGCCTGTCGACCAGCCCGGGCTGGAGCTGCACATATAATCACCCCCTAAGACAAATTGCTGAAGTACAGACTTGTTCAATCCGACGGCATCCGGTTGGCTGAGAGGGAGTATGGTGCTAAGCGTGATCTCTAGTCTACATAGCTATATGGTTCGCAATTGACTCGCAGGGCGCCGGATAAGCAAGCCTGGTTAACACACGCTAGACCATTTGTTTTGAAAAGGACCAAAGGGTGCCGAATTTAGAGGTCTGGCTATAGCTCCGGCGAGTCCTATTTTGTAAAAAACATCCTTCAAGATTATTCCTGTAAATGTCAATCCATCAAACCCTCCTTTCCTCCATGCGCTCTCACAGCCATCAAACCCTGACCACTCATTTCAAAACGATCAGTAACCTCGGACCGCCCCTTACACAATAATTTTGTTTTTGTTTTTTCATTATCGAATGCACAACGACATCAAGAGCAATATAATTTGAGAGACTGATGTCACTGCATGCTGTTATGCTCTGCCATCTGGGTTTGCTCAAGTACTTCACTTGTTATGCATTTGAGTATTAAATTTGTTATGCTGTCGTACTCTGCATAGCATTTGGTGTTGCTTGCATTGATTGCCCTGTTTTCTGCCTGCTTGCAGGTCGTGTGTGTCTGGATTCAGCGATGGAACAGTATCATGTTGGAGGTGGAATGATGATGACCAGTGCGAGGTGGGCATTGAGATATGGGCAGTCAATGTTGCAGTTATTATAGTAGTAGAGTATCGATTATCCAAACCCTTTTGGCCAGCAGCCTTTCCGGAAGGGTTCAGATGAAAGAACTATTCGGATCATGAAAGAGTTGAGTATGCAATAGTATGCATATACACATAAATTGCTATGCAACAATTGAAAGTAAATTATTCCCTGCATCATAGGATTAGGTTTTGGTCCATAGGTTCAGTGTCACAAATTTTACTCTCGAGTTTGCGTACACTCATTGCTGTGCCCAGGAATGCATTTGTTTCCGTTCTTGATTCTTCTTTCGCCCTCCACCATGTGTTTGCACAGGTGACTAGTACGGTATCAACTGGGTCATCATTATCATGCATTCACAGCGACATCTCCCAAAGACATGAGGTAGCCACTGGAGGCAAAGAGAGCAACGTGAAACTGTGGGATGCAGAGCGAATGGAGAATCCCGTATTTTCAGCAAAAAATGTGAGTTCTTTGTGTGTAGAAAGGAAAATTTCCTTTTTACATTTTATTATTGACTCAACGTCCGAGTTTCTTTGTCAATTGTTTCAGAATTGCAATCCACAGTACCAGCTGGGTCAACATAATCACAGATACTTTATTGAATCAAAAACCGAAAGATGACGAGCCAAGGGTGTGATGAACGAGAAAAGTACTAGATTAATGGGAGAGATTCTGAGGGGGGGGGGGGGGGGGGGGGTACACATCGTCATTTTCAGATCAATTTGACTCGTATGGAAGCATGAAACTCAGAGTCGCACACGTGTTCTTTGCTTTGCTTTTGTGGGACAGCTTCCGTCATTTCTCCATCTCCATTGTCAAGCACTCTTTCTGCTACTATAGGCTGAATTCTTGTGTCGTTGTGATGTGCTTTCATTCAGTAATTTTGTGCTTGTGTGTGTGTGTGTGTGTGTGTGTGTGTTCATTCGCTCGTTCATTTTTGCATGATTGGCTTAGCTTCCGCACGATTTCCTGGACCTGCAAGTTCCTGTTTGGGTTCAGTGCTTGACCTATCCTGATAGTGCACTGATTGCAGCTGGAACGGCGTATCATGAAGTAAGTTGTGCAATGTCATATTACAGTGGTACAGTGGTGACCAGCGGTATACACTGCTACAATGTTGGTACACGATGATCGGATTTGACGGCAAACGGAAAGCGTGGGCAAGTGAACCAAGCAGAACAGGGCCTATTTGAAATGGAATGGATTCGCAACTGATCTGAGGAATTGCTGAAAACTTGTCATAACAGAATTTGCCAAGGTCATCATGGTTATAATTGAGCCGTCAGATGCGAAAACCGACCTTTAATATGGGAAAAAAATCATATTTGAGTTAAAATAGCAATGAAAAATATCAATTGTGCACTCATAACCATGTATAAAAGCATTTGGTGTCCAGTCCGAATTGTCGTAAGTTGTTTGACGATTCCTGGTTTAGTGTTATTTGTTGCGCTCGTTTCTTTAACAGGTGTTGGAACTTGGAAGCTGTTTATATTCGTACACGTGGCCCTGTGCTATGCAAACAAAAAGAAAATGTTTTTAGCACTCACACTTTTCAAATAATACGCACTCACCAGTTTTGTCCACACGCACTCACAGCTGCCGTATTCATCTACTGCTACCATTCTCAGATCCACTGCATAAGTTCACACTACACGCGTTAAGCATAACGCCGAGCTGCTGCATTCTCACGCTTCTTTTCATATTATTCTAGCTATATAACTGGTTGTTTTAGTGATTCTTACTATGTGACGATGTTCCACTGATGATAGTCACGAGAAAACGTTCTGGAATTGTTTCATTTTAATTGTTTTATACATGGTTATGAGTGCACAATTGATATTTTTCATTGCTATTTTACGACTGTTGTCTCCTCGTCGGTTATTTTAATATTTGAGTTAGTGGTACTATCTGAAAGCCAGGAGCATCAGGAGTCGTATGCAAAAAACTAGAGTTGATTTGGACCAAGGGAAGTAAAGTCATAGCCTCTACAATAGGAGACCGTTACAAATTACATCTCAATTTTGGGTGCAATACCAACAATTGTTTCACCTACTTTGGAGAGTATTTCCTGTTTCCTTTGACTGATTTCCACAAACTTGGGTTTTCTGGAAAGCTCTGGCGATGAGCAACCCGTTGGGCACAAATTCGATAGCAAATAAAGCACAGCACCAGCGCAACAAGCTGCTGACACCACTTCAGCGCTTGACTTGCGCCGTCACACGAAAATCGCTCGCCATTTCCATCTCCGTTATCACAGGGCGCCCAATTATTTTCGTGAAGATGCAGTGAGAGCTTCCAAGACGTCTGAGCCTGGTGCCGAGATTTTCGTAGATCGCTTGAAAAGGGGGAAATCCGTGGTCTGGATTGTTTGATTTACATGTACAAGTAGAAATGCAAAGTGCCGTGACGTATCTTGCAGGCTTCGTAGCTGGGTAAAGCAGCATCGTGCCGCGATCGCGCTTACTGCATTGGATTCCTTGGTGTTTTCTCTTCGATTTACATACTTGGATCGTCCCGAAAGACTGATATTTGACTGAAATACGAAGGTTTGTAGCTTGGCTGTCCAGGCGCACCAGTGAGTAAACTCGCCAACTTTCAACTGCATTTTTCTGCACTGTGCAGTGTTTCCCATAAGGTCGGTTTTCGCATCTGACGGCTCAATTATGTCCTGATCCACCACATCTGTGGCACGTTTGTAGCTTGTTGCCCACAACAATGGTGTCCACAACTCCATGTTCCTTTGTTCTGTTTCTCCTTTCTTTTCTTCAGGTTCAGTTGTTTGATCCTCGCAGCAAGCGTCGGCCTGTGACCCGCTATGAGTGGGGAGAACACCCGATCAAGGCCATTACTACTGTACCAGACAAGAGGTTAGGAAGTGGATTTCTTCTGCAATCAAGGCCACTGTTAAGCTTTGTTCATTTTCAACTTTTTGTGTGACTAGTATGTGTGTGGATCGGTGACGTCTCCATCAGTACGAGTGCCATATTATGCAAGTTCTCTTGCCAACAGTGGACAATCACCAAGAAGTGCTGACAGCTTGAATCAGGCAACTGACAGAGTGTGTTGATCTGCCCGGCTTTTTATTTCTTGTAAGGCCACCCTTTCTATTTTCGTTGTTTAACGTCCGCGCCCGCGTACCTTTTTGCCTCCGACCGGAAAAAAAGAAAAAGAAAGTAGTAGTACCAATAATATGCGAAGTTGTAAATACATGATTGTGTAGTTTCACAGTGTGCCGATCATGACCTTAAACTTATAATCTTGCCTCCCGGGCATGCCTTTGTCTTGTGTTCTTTTTCTTTTTTTGTTGGCTTTTAAATATCGTACGGTGTGTGTCCTAGTAAAAATCCAGATGATAAATTCATGACATGCTAACTCCATGCTATGTACCTGTTTTGTTGGATTCATCAGGCATGTGCTCCAATGTACCATCAAAGAGTGTTGTTCTATGCCTGCAAGTGCCGTTAGACCCAGAAATATTGTATATATCACATGCTTTACTGGTCAAAATGTTTGATTGGGGTTTCCAGTTTTTGGAATGGGCTTTTTTTTCGCCCTCCCGCGTACCTTTTCGCGAAAAAAAGGACGTTAAACAATGAATTAACAAAGGGTGGCCTAATGTTGACGAGTGTTCACCGTCCCTATCTGCTATGCTAACTATGGGTTGTTTGTCTGGTTTCCACTGCAGCCAGCTAATCGTTTCCAATACTATTGGTGACATGGCTCTACTCGAACTTCGCTCAGGTCAGTATAGAACACAGTGAAATGGCCCCAGCAGCCAGTGCTAATTGGAATTTGGTACGATTCGCATTAGTGCTGTATTCAAACTGTATCTCAGTACAGATCTCTATCAGGTTGTGCCTTCTGTTGTTGGGTAGAAGTCTTGTTCTGGATTTTGGGGGTCGAATTCGAGGAATATCACTGTATTTTAGTTGATCCAGTATATCGGTGCATTGCAAGCATGAATAGAATGCATGCAACGTGTGTATACCTGTATGTGTCTTGGACTTTAGGGAAGCTACTTGGTCAATTCCGTGGATCGTGCGGCAGTATTGGGTTTCTACAGTGTCACAAGACACAGCCGCTGGTCTTGTCCTGTAGCCTGGACCGATACGTTCGTCTTCACCACACTGTCACCAGGCGACTTGTCAAGGAGGTGAGGCTGACTCTTGATACTGTGCTGGCCACTGTTGCATTTTATATGAACAAAGTACTTGGTCCGACTTATTAAAATGTGCGCTTCACTTCAAAACTCAAGCATATGTACAAAGGAGCACCTGTACCAAAAAATCAACCAAGGGGGGGGGGGGGGCGGTAGATAGATAGCTACTGTGTCGTTTCTTGGCCTGACCTTCTAGTTTTCATCGCTGCTGGTGTCTCAGGGCGCATCTGCAAGTGCGGCAACCTGCAAAACGTCGACATTTTTTCATCTCCTCCAAGCTACACTGCGCTTCTTTGATTTTTTCACTCCATAGGCACGATTTCCACGATCGACTTCGCCTCCTCCTCGTGCAGTGCGACAACCAGAATGGTGGCTGTAGGTGTTTTCGCCTAAAGCTCCCACGACACCTTCAAATGAGGCGAACAAATAAACCACCACGCATAAAAAATCACTTCTGACCACCGTGTACCGCGCGCGTACTGAGTCTGATCTGTGTCGACATGTCATGCAGTCAGACCATGCGTGCTCTTCCCTGCTATGCCTGTTTCACAAGTCCACTGGCTCCGGAGACTGGCGATCTTGTGACGCATCGCGATCGCGGCTCCGCGCGCGGATCCGAGGACTCCGCACCGTTTCCGCCGGATAATTCACCCTTCCTGCGCTTCAGTTTTCCAGCCAGGTTGTCGCCTGAAAGTCGACCTCAAGGCCGGTTATTTATTTCGATCAACTTCTCGACGATCTCTTTTGTGATCTTGATTCGTCGGCCGCCACATCGTGAACGACTGCGAGAGAGATCAGCAAACTGGACGGAGCGATGCTGGTGCTTTCTGCACGAGTTTCTGGTTGACGCGTTTGCTGAAATTCTGTCAAGGAAACAGCGATTGCAGCGATTTCAATCCGCCAGGAGGCACTCGAGAACGATCGCCTAGGAGGTTCTGGTACTCCGTGACAATCCCCCATCGCAGCGGGGTGTTGATTTCAGCACCAGGCCTTCTCTGTGTTGCGCGAGAAGCAACAGGAGTCCTCTGACGACAAAATTTGGACGCAAAATTCTCGAGTCGACTAGGATCCTGAGCCGCTGCCTCCTTTGGAGTTGGAGCCATTTCTTCTTCAACATCACAAATTGACAACTGAATGATAGTGTTAGATAGCTGGAAAGTTTATTCCGTCCTGAGATTATTTGAATTTGTTTGGTTGATGTTCGAAGCGAAACGCACATTTTAATAAGTCGGACCAAGTATCGTTGGGTTGGGTTGTTATAGTGCCACTGAAGAGGCATAGGCGTTGAAATCTCCGGACATGCACACACTTTGTTCCCTACTTGTACTTTTTTGTGGAAAGTTTACTACGAGTATTGCATGTTCATGTATACAGTGCAACGTGTGTTGTGATTCCACAACCCGTATGCAGACCTTCGTGTAAGAAAAATCCAGGAGAGTGAACAATCACTCTCGCTATCCTCTCAAGGAGAGTGGTGGGAGAGCAGTCCCCACCACCCTCCCCCCCCCCCCCCCCCCCCCGAAAAAGCCGCTCGCCTTTTCTATCCAAGGCGAGCACAATACGGGTTTTTTCAACATCTTGCCATACCCCAATCGGATTCAATACCCAATAGCTGCCAAATTCGTTCTGGAAAATCGCCGCACGCACTACAAATGAAAGCTGTTCGGACCACAACTTTAGTTTCCCTTCATCAGGGACAATGACACACGCAATGGGAAATTGAGACAATTCGCTAAGATCCATGGTATTTTTGTAGTATTCATCGTAGAGCGCTCCTTTGAGGCTTTGTTCTGTAGCTGACGGCTAAAGACCTGTGCCTGGCGTCACACGTACACAGGTCTATGCATGTCCGGACTGTCACGCAACCGAGGGAAATCCTTTATGTCAAAGTTATATGTGCGGAAGTGAAAATTTGCAACGGTACGTAAAATACCTTGCGAGTGCCGTAACTCCACTTTTGGACCTCGGATCGACTTCTGATTTGTTGGAGCCGACAGCTGAGAACTTTCTAATGCGAATAGATCTTTCGATTACTCGATTCCGTTCAGGGAAAGCCGAGTTACGAAATATTTGAGTGTTTTCAGAACTTCATAGTGATGCGGATGCGCTCGAAATTCTCAAGGCGCGCGACGAAAAGTGCGCCCTAAAAGAAAATAAGGAGAGCGAAGGCGCGCGAGAGCGATCGCTCTCCTTTTACCAGATGGTCTGCCGTATGCGTACACTGGCACATGTACACTGTATTTTCAGGTTTCGTACAGAGATGTGAGCTTGTGTGCTACAGTACAGTCATTTCAAAGCTAGTTGAACAAACCTTGTAATAGTCTGTCCTGTAATCTCTGCCTGTATAGGTCTATGTCAAGCAAAGAATATGTACCGGTCTCCTTCCAAGCTCTGAAGTAGTGGTGAGTCACTTCTGTTCAATAACCCATGGTAACGTTAGTTGTTTCAACAGGTGGCCTGTTTCAACAGATGGCCATTTTTAGGCTTCAGCACCTCAAACTTGGTAGCATAGTGATGGATCTATGCAGGGATCGATTTACTTTGATTTTTTGCATAGCAGTCAGTGCTACACAGTTTTACAATTGACTAGCAACTCGCAGTATTGATTAGCAGTTTTCCTTCATCGAAAGTTCACATATCTGTACAATAGCAGGATTTTGTACAGAAGAGGACAATAGCTGCAGTTGCTATTTGCTTTTCCAAATGAACGGTTGACCTGAATATTTTACGTTAGGGTTATCGCTTGGGCTTGTTACATGTTCAGCATCCATCCGACTTCGAGTTCTTCACAACACAATGTCCTTCAACAGGGCAGTTCAACTGATTCCTTCCACAAAGAAAGCTCCGGAAAGCGCTCAAACGATCATGACACTTCGTTCAAAGCGCACAGAATTTTCGCTTTTCTCCTTTTCTTCATCGAAACGAATCGACACTCCTGGCGCGTCCAGTTCTTTTTCCCGCTCCTGGACTGTGATCAGATTCACTAAACATGAGTCTAAGAACCATCTACTTCAACCGTGTCTTGTCGAACAGAAACAAACTGAATTGAGCTTGACAGTGAAAGAAGAAAGGAGAACTTCAGGGAAAGTCGCTGCCGTGTACAAAACTTCAGAAGACTGCAGACTGTGCAGTCTTGTACGACCGGTCGACCAGGGCTATCAGTGGCTAGTGCAGTGTCCAAAATCAAACAGAGCGCGATCCGCGACCCGCGCTCGGCCTGAGCAGTACAGGCCAGTTGGTTGGAGTAGTAAAATACTAGTAAAATACTACTCCCTAGTCAGCAGTGTGTACAACAGTTGCATGCAAACTGCACACAAACAGTACAGAATGGTCTTTGTACATGTACATACCGGTATGCATGGCGCGTGCATCGCAGTTTTGGGCGATACAAAACGAAAACCGAATCGCAGCCAGTGAATTTTGATTCGCAAACTGCGATGCGAACCCGGATAAATCGATCCCTGCTATGTATAAGTTACTGGAGGTGAACAACTTCACGACCTCACCCTTACCCCACACTTTGACGTATGTTATCATGGCAAGGTCACTAGCGTTCTGAGACCAGCTGCAGCTGCACTGCAATGTTTACGCAAACAGGGCAGGGGATCCTGCCCTGTTGTACGTAAATCCGAAAATAATTACCATGAAACCCCGCCGTAGCGCCCTGTCACTTTGGCCTTTTTCGTGACTTGTATCTGGGTTTGTCTCGTTCAGCACTGTGGAGTGCTCATCCGCCCCAACCCACGATTAAAGCACGAAAGAGTGTTCATGCACCTGTATGCCAATGGCACATACACAATTGATGAAGTAGACAATAGTAGGGTTCTTCACTGCTCAAGACAAGCCCATGCTGATTGAGAATACCGCAGCAACGACAGCAGACACAACATGACAGGGTTAGGAGAAGTTACTCAATGGCTGGACACGCCAGGAAGAACTGGCTCATCTTCATCCTCTGCTGCCGACTGGTTCGGGCAAGAGTTGGGACAGCAGGAGTGGTGGTCGGGTTTGTGCGGCAGGCCTTCAGCATACCATTCTTCGAGAGGGAGATCATGCCGTCAACCGTGGACAGCTGAAGTGAGCAACACGGCTTGTTTACCAGCATGCTGCATGCGGAAAACACACGCTTGGATGGAACTGAGGTGGCACTAGTGCACATGGGCTTTTTTCTTAAATCTGACAAACTGCGAGAACTGCTGCTCGCTTGCCTTGCACCACATGATGATGCTGCCAGTGGATCGATTCCATGGGCGGCAGGCTGGTTCTGGAAAAATCTGGTGACTTCTCGTTAAATCAGTGTCGACTCTCATCATCCGTCGCCACCCCGAAAAGAATGCCCATGCCACTGGCTGCTTGCTCAACTTCGGGGCAGTCAGATTCCGAGTTGGCAGGCAGCTATGAGTAGCTGATGGGTACCAGCGGTGATAACAAGTGTGATCTTCTCTTCCAGGATGTTGAGGGAGCTGGCAAACAACAGGCTACAGAACCTGGGATCAATTGCAGTCAACAATACCCACGCAGAAGAAGAAGTGGTCTAATCTGCCAGTTGAGTTTCGAAATCTGAAGAAATGTTGAATATTCACTGCGGAAAATGACACTGGGTTGACGACTACACCATAGCTTAGTGGTAGAGCATCGCTGGCCATAAGCGAAGGTGCCTGGTTCGAGTCCGAGTGGTGTCAGTCAATTTTTCTTCGCAGACTTTTCCCCTTTTCAACTCCCTCAAACTTATGAATAGTTTTACACACAAGTCACAGCACACCACCCATCATCCGGTTGTAACTAATACACATAGTCATGTACTAGTTTCTTGCCCATAGCCATAGGCAATCATCAGACAACTGATAATGGATGAATGGCCAAGATCCGAATAGTTTTAAGATAGAATTTTGAAAAGAATGTCCTCGTCCTGAAGATTTCCCCACGAAATCACCAATTATGCTCTGGACATGAGATTTGTGCACCCTAAATTGCACAATTTAGTACATGCATATTTGCCGGGTCTCTAGTCCTCAACTCTGACAGAAGGCCAATGGGTGTGAAGTTGTGAAGTATAGTACATGTACCATAGCAATACAAGAAGCAACCCGATGATTGCAGTGCAGACAGAAACATCACTAAAGTCCCTTCCCGAGCCATAAATCGAGGTGGGTCGCATGAGAGAGACGGAATGCTCTGGCAGGATATTGCGGTTCAGCAAGGAAACAAACTTCACCCTCTTGACAAAGACCATGGGTTACCGCTAGCTTCATCAGGAAAAAGTATTGCGTGCAAACAGTTTTCTTCGCCTTAAATTGCGTCAGTGTGAACGTCAGGAAAATGCCACTTGAATTTGTTGGATAACCCTCAAAGAAATCAGGAAACACACCTTTCCTGTCAATCATGTTCCGATAATGCGAAAATGGCGTTTGGTGGAAGTTACTGCTGATGACATACATGTACCAGCACCTTGTGTGCTGTAGCCTGCATACCACTATCTTGTGCTGTAGCCTGCATACCACTATAATTATACTGTACATGTATTCGTTATTCATTATCTTTGCATTGCAACGAAAGATTTTTAATAGCAAGGCACTGCTGTTGTGGTGGCTGTTGTTTGTATTGTTGTTATTATTGCTGCTGCTGCTGTGGTCGATGTTGACACTGCTTGTTTGTGTGTGTGTTCAGTCCCTTGCCACAAGTCTCAAGAGACCCCGTGTTGTGCCTGCTGCTGAGAGCCGTGACAGCAGCCATGATCAAAGTGATGAGGAAGGCGAGGATGTTTGGGAGGAATTGGAACAGGCTTCGGCAAAGAACATCAAAGCTGAAGAAGAGTGCGAAGCTGTTGCAGACGGTACCGAGGAAGTTGTTAGCCCCACTCTTCCTCTTATGGCCGGTGAGTGAGAGGATAGATAAGAGTCTTGTCAATAGACTGACCGGTGAGGTAGACCTGATGGTATACAGTACACTGATTTTGCTTGTGCCCGGGGCCACTGCTCTTTCTGAGGGACAGACTCAGCGCTCAGCGGAAAAACATAATTATTGCCTTGCCAAAGCCTTGCCGTTCAACTCACTGCTCTTTTTCCAAGTTTGCGCTGAGGAATAAGTCAATCGACTGTATCAGCGAGTGGTTGATTATGGTTTGCGGCTCAGGTTTATAAGTGGCACAATGAATCACATTGCGCTGAAATGTTCCTTCAGGCTTGCTTGTGTCTCTGTTTCCATTGGATGGTTTGCACTCTTACCTGTACTAATATCGCTGTTTTTTTTGTCTGCAGCTAAAAAGAAGCTGAAAAAGAAAGTGCCATCATCTGATGACAGTCCCCAGAGGAAGAAGAAGAGGAAGAATCCACGCCGGAGGAATGACGACGAGTAGTCTGTACGTTACGCCATGAATGCACATGCCATCCCTCGAATTATATTATCACACGGCTAGCAATTTTTATCCCTATGATAAATCTATCCCAGACAGCCCAACATTATCACCAGGGAGTCGTAAAATACGTATTTTACGACTCCCTGATTATCACATTGCTGTCTGCCCCTGGCAACACTGTGCTGCTTCTGAGCTAAACTGTTGCTGCGCCACTGTTGCAATCTGGTAATGGAAATGTTTGATAAATTATACGCATTTCGATTTCCCGAAGTTTGAATGGAAATGGATTCGAGAGTCGAGTCGTTACAGATGGCTCCTATGCAGCTAGGTGATATGTCTGGGTCCAAGCCGTTCCTTTTGTGTCTATCAGTGAATGCGATCGTTGCACATACTTCTTGAAATCTTATTTGAAGAATAAGTCAATTGCCTGTATCAGCGAGTGGTTGATTATGGTTTGCGGCTCAGGTTTATAAGTGGCACAATGAATCACATTGCGCTGAAATGTTCCTTCAGGCTTGCTTGTGTCTCCGTTTCCATTGGATGGTTTGCACTCTTACCTGTACTGATGTTGTTGTTTTTTTGTCTGCAGCTAAAAAGAAGCTGAAAAAGATATCACCGAGACTGTAAAATGATAGGTTTGGCTACTGTCAATAGATGAAGCGCACGACTGTGTATTTGCGGTAGAAAGTGCAATACAATGTAACAATGCAGTTATGAATTCGCTTTATAGTAGTACCGTAAAGTCCGCTGCAAACGCCCACCCCAGCGGGTCCATACTATTTTCGTCTTTTTCAGGTCAATATACTGTAAAAGCAGAAATTTTCGGTGGTGTTTTATTTTCGCTAACTTCGGTGCCAACAATTTTTACCGAAAATAAAACGCACCGAAAATTTCGGTACAACCGATACTGTATACATGTAGTACACTTACCTGGAGAACGGGGTTTACCGAAAATTTCCCTCTACCGAACCGCCGATTTTGGAGAATACCGAAAATATTACACCACTGAAAATTTCTGCTTTTACAGTAGTTGTAGAAAACTGGCATGAATGTCGAATGCGTACGAGAACAACTATAATGCCTACAAACTGCCTATGTCTTACCAAGAGGCTCCGCAAAAGCGATTGTCATGATCTTGCTGCAAAGAAAAAAAACGTCGGTCGAGATTTCCTTTCATACGATGAATGGGTCGTCTTTGTGATTAGTTCATTCTCCATGAAGTAATGCCGTAGAATCCATCTGGTTTTCAAATCATGAAATTTCTGCAGTGCCACGAATCCCCCCCCCCCCCCCCCGGCCCACGATGTCGCGCTTCCAGAATGGAAGGGTGATTGTTCTGACGAAGCGTCATTTAACGACTTGACAGGTCGCAGTATTGCAGTTGCAAGTCGAACAGGGGGGCGGGGGGTGTCACAGAAGCTACACCTACAAAGTCGCTGCTAACTAACTTGTTGAAAACTCTGAAGTGCTCGAGAAAAACCCTTGTCATTGCGCTTTGCGTGATTAGGAAATGATGCATCGATGGCTTGAAACACTCAGAAGTGTATTTGGTTCCTGCAATAGACTGTTCTTCGCTACCTTGCTATTAAGACTGAAATCGAAGTAACTCCCGTTTGGATTTGCGAAATAAAACAACCAACATAAAATCACTAGGAGCTAGCTCGTAACTAGTGCCCAAAAACATTTTGAAACCAGGAAAGTGGACATAGTTTACCGTAGCCAAGCGCTCCTCGCGCCACGGTGTGAGATGCACTTTCGTACAGTAGGGGTGAAAGTGCATGGGGTCAGTGCGTATAGGCCAGCAGATCTTGCAAAAATGGGACGGGCGTTTGCAGCGGACTTTACGGTAGTACGCTAGGTGTGGATGTGCGTGATTGCACCTGCTTGACCATTGATTGGCTATGCTTTTAATCAAGTATATTGCGGTCCAGACGCCGGGTCTAGGCTTACCCCGTTCTAATACTCTTTCACACTTTGCGTATCTTATGATGACAGCCGCTTCTAGATCACGCAGACCTGTGCGTGTATGTGTGTGCGTGTACAATCGCTGTTCCGCGCAGCGGACAAAGACTGAAGTCGCAGTTCAGCTGCATGTTTAGCAAGTACTATCGCTACTGCCGCTGCTTGCTGTTTTCTACAATGTGTTATAATTATCATAGCATGCTGCTGCTTTTAGTGAGAGGTTCTTTTGGTGCTCTTCTCCCAAACAGTGAACATATTCTCTACTCTGACGAGATCAGTTAGTTATATGTGTGTGTGTGTGTGTGTGTGTGTGTGTGTGTGTGTGTGTGTGTGTGTGTGTGTGTGTGTGTGTGTGTGTGTGTGTGTTGGGTTAGGACTGGGTTAAGTTGCGTTATGCCAGCCATGGCTATACTTGTCACAAAACGTTCCAAGGGTTAGAGACGGCACAGCCAAGGGCGAGACTAACCGGAACACTCCCCCGGGTTTGACACTTGTACTTGCAGTACTAGTGCATTGAGGTCATGTGACTCGTGTCCTTTGACCTCCTCTGTCCTTTGACCTCCTCTCAGACAAACATTAGCCATTACTGGCATTAGGAAGATCGTTACTAGTAAAACACTACCTTTTTGTGTTTTTTTTTGGTTTTTTCAATATATCACCAATTTTGAAGCCAATATGCCAACAATTCTTGTAGCCGTTTTCCAATATATTATTGCAGTATTATTGAGCCGAACGAAAAGCCGAATAGGTGAAATAACGGGCCAATTTGGGGAAAGCCTAGTCGGGGGGGGGGGGGGGGGGGCTGTGAATGTCTTTATATAATGAGGAAACATCATTTCTGAGAAGAAGAGGTTGGTGTAGCCCTTTCCCAAAGGTGCTCGCCCTTTGTGGCCCTTTTTGGAAAAGCCCGTTTCTTTCGCCCTTTATTGCGTATTTTGGTGAATATCGCCCTTTTTGAGCTTTTTAGCTGAAAAAGTGCTAAAATCTGTTTTCTCATGCATACGATCACAGTTTCGGAGTGCTCGATGGGCCTTGGCACCGCGCTTTTTGGGGGGAAACAAGTTGGTGAAGCTTGTACATGTACACAATGCTGTAAAAAGTGGGTTTCAAGTTTGAACTTTACTTCCTGTTTTGCCTTTCATGGACCCATGAATGGAAGAGTGCATATTCATTTCTCAGCTTGGGTTCATATCTGAACATGTATCATGGCTATCCTTCACTGAAAAAAGAGCACTTTTTGCCGGTTTTCACTGAAAAAGAGCACTTTTTCAGCATATTTTGAGGGACGCGAAAAGCACTAAGTGCGAATTAAAAGAGCACCTTTGGGAAAGGGCTAGGTTGGTGCGACTTCAGCGATACTTGGGGAATTGTGTGTTGCTCCCTACATGGGAGCTCGCGCTTTTCCTGCCGACTTGAATGAGCACTTGACTGACTCACGACTGCCATCCAGAGCACACGAGAAGTCCATCGAACCTTCCACTCGGCAAATCTGCAAGAAAGCACCACTCCAGCTCCCTGCTCAATACACACAGCGTTTTGGGGAATTCACCCCTCATTAGTTGAGCTTGAGTAGGCTGAGGAAGATTGTGCCTGAAGAGCACCACTTCAGGGCTGCCGGAACCGGTCCGGTTGGTTCGCTTGTCACCGGACCAATTCTGGCTCAGGTCACCCCCTGGGATTCGTCTAAAACTGGGGAGAAAAAATTCTGGGTACAGGTGCATGTACATGTGCAGTATTATCGATCATGCATACATGTACATGTACAGGCATCCATAGTAAGCCATACACTGTACATTGATATCCATGCCGCCAAATTATTCCCTGTAGTGGGCTCTGAAAACTTGTGAAAGGGACAAATTCTGCTATTTCTGACAGGATTTTTCAAAAAATGGCCCGGGAGACATCCCCCGCCCCCCCCCCTCAAACCGGACCAACTTCGCCCGCCAGAAGCTTCTGGCGGGCCTGCACTTACATTGTATACTGTATGTAGTGCTATCCAGGCACAAACATCACCAGGGATACAAATTCACAAAGACGCTTCGTTTCCAGCGCGACAAACACCTTGTGAACACCTGATAGCAGCGTGAGTCAGTGTCGCTCATGGAGGTGCTGAACAAACGCTAGCGCTGAGGACCGTTGGCCATTCACAATGTTGTTGCCTCCAAACCATCTATTTCGCAAGCCCTTGTGAACACCTGATAGCAGCGTGAGTCAGTGTCGCTCATGGAGGTGCTGAACAAACGCTGAGGACCGTTGGCCATTCACAATGTTGTTGCCTCCAAACCATCTCTTTCGCAAGCCCGGATGGAGGGAGGGAGGGACATTCATACAATTCTTGGACAGAGCTAGAGAATTTAGCAGCGGAAGTATAGCACGACTGTGTATGTTGTACGTGTATCTGTGTAATTATCATTATTATTACTATTGTAATAGGTAGTGGAGGCAGGGGATACTACATTTTGGTTGTTCACACCAAAGCACTAGCACTTGTACACATCTATCATCAGATCATCAGACAGCAGCATTTCCATTATTGTTATACTGTCTGTAGTATAATTTGCTCACAGGGAATGCCCACTGTCCTGGCAGGAGTTCCCTCTCACTACTGTCCCTACTGACCTCAGTGCCAGTGGCCTCACCTAGCCTGCTCACTCGCCATGCTCACTGCGTGCGCTGGCCTCAGACAGAGTACAGTCTTAGATCTTCCCGTAGTCATGGCAGTCTCACATTATTTTGCGTGAAAAGAACGCGTCATGCGCCAAGACCGTCGACATTTCGCAGAGCAGCTATGCGGATAGTATGCCGCTGGCCTGGCCCGGTACATGCAGTCAGTAGTGAGTGAGCGCCTGATCTGTGCGGTGCAGCTAATGCGTGGGACATACACTTGTACCAGATGTACTAAGCTTAGTCAACATGTAACCAAGACAAAAAAGCGCTCCCATTTTTACTCTTCATGTAACAGGTCATGTCAGTGCATGTGCGCTGGGTAAACGCCTATTTCTTTGCTGCCACTTATCATGCTTGTCTAATCTCTATCGCTCTTCGACTCGTACAAAACACGACTACAAAAATAATTATAGCGACTGCATGCACACTACGAGCACGTGTGTGCATCCCGACCGTTTTTAGTAAATAATTATTTTACTCACCACTACACCAGAGATGTGACAGTGTGGAGTAGGGACTGAGTGTGTCCATGAAAGTGATGTAGACCTTGGACGCTAAGTTAATAGTCCAGAGTCCAGACATGACAGTCAACACCTTTTTGTAGTAGATGCTACACTCCAGGGCTACACACTAGCACTCAGCCTCTCAGGTCTGAGGATCGCCTAGGTCCGGATCAGAGATTCGTACAATTATTTCTTCAGCACCAAAGTCAAGAGACTGTCTGACACAGAAAGCCAGTGACAGTGCATTGCATTGACCGTGCTAATGACATCCATAGTTTTTCATGATTCTTGACTTCAGTCTTCACTCGCACACACATGCAAAAACACAAACACAAAGTGACATACCTGTACATACACACACACACACGTACACACACACACACACACACACACACACACACACACACACACACAGTGACACACACACACATAATACACACACACACACACACGCGCGCGCACACTTGTACACGTACACACACACATGCTGGCTGTCACAGACGCATGTGGAGACTACAATCATGTTCATTCAACACAGTCATGCAGATCTAGCTAGTAGAGGTCTACTAGATCATCTACGTGTAGTGTAGATCTAGATTTACATTCTGCTGCTACTGACCTGTGCAAGTGACACAGACTCGATCACTCTCATCGATCATCACACTCAGACATAGCCAGATATCGATCAGTACTGATTACTAGTAGTACACGCAGAGGACTAGACCGGCAAAGAAAGAGCAAAAAATTTCTTGCCAGCAACACCGTACTACTGGTCTATCGTCCGACGTCGGGAAGCACACAGCTGCTTCAGTTAGGCTGCGCGAATGTTGTTCTGTCCATGAACGGCCATGCCTAAACTAAAGAAGGTAAGCTTTCGGCCATTGTCCAGCGCAATGGCCCACGCGTTTTCTTGTCGGCGCTGGTTCGGCGTCCCTATCGCTCAGGATTTGTGATCTAGGAGAAAGGCGATGCCTATTTTTCACTGTGGGAGTTTAGCAGGCTCAGCGAAGTTGCATAGGGAAGTCAGTTATTTTCTGCTGTTGCCTTGCAGAGTTCTAAGGGTGCGAAAGGAGGCAAGGATGGAGCGGACAGCCCGACGCAGACCTCGTCACCAGCCCTGCAAGTTGACGAGGTGAGGTTCAGTTTGGTTCGCTATTTTGTGAAATGTATCTTGAATTTTATCGTGTACTGGCGGATACTAGTAGTAAAATAACTCCGTGAATCCGTGTCGTTTAGTTATCTACGATAGACGGGCTCGTAATCTGGACCGGGAGAATAATGTAGTCACTGGATTGTTCGTTCGGAACCAAGTGCTCATCGTTGGTATGTTTTGCGTTACTGGACATGCTTATGTTGTGCAGCGTGCACCACCTCTGGCAGCCGTCAATCGAATAAAGTACGCCCCGCCGCATCTGAAGAAGGATAAGCAAAACCGAGGGTCGTCCCGATTCAACATATCGTCAAAGCGAGAACTGACGAAACTGCCCCCGCTAAAAGGTAAGGAGATTGGACGGACAGCCTGATCTGGCAGAAGTACCATGTACATGACTGTATGCCTCGTGGCTTGCTTGCTGCAAGTGACATGTTTCATGAATTATTTGCTTTGAAATGAGCGGCGGCTAGAGTGCTAGCTCAGCTGCTCCAGAATCCACTGTGCTACACCTATACGTAGTAACGGCATAGATCATAGGGATAAGGGGTTCTTTGCTCTGTCCCCAGAACCTCCTCAAGCTGTTGTCACCAATGTTTTTTCACTGGGTCGAAAAGACAACATTGGACATACACTGACATCAAAGCTGGGTAATTTCCTTTGATTTCCCCCCGGCTTTAGAATGGATGTGAAGTACCAATTCAAATAATGCGTATAATGCGTATGCATTCTTATGGAGGATTCTTGATTTAGCTCCTCATAGTGTGAGTTTAATAATTATTATCATTTTTGACCCTCATGGAAGTAATACGTGCCATGCTCACAACGCACTCTATAACCAGTACACATGCAATCCGTGCTGGGCTCTACAGTATTCCTCTGCTATGACTGTGACTTACCATTGCCAATACCGGATGCCGGATTGGTGATCTTTTTCCTTATCCTTGAACTAGATGCCACTGGTGAGTCGCGGGAAGAACTGTTCATTCAGAAGCTGCGGCAGTGCGCCACGGTGTTCGACTTCTCTGCTGACCCGCTCAGTGATCTGAAATGGAAGGAGGTGAAGCGCTCTGCCCTCAATGAGCTTGTCGACTATGTTTCACATAATCAATCAGCCATCACTGAACCAGTCTATCCGGAAATGATATCAATGGTGAGGGATTTACATGTACAAATATTACGACAGCCCATTCAAGAAAGATATTCCCGTCGGTTCTGAAAACCCAATCTTGGCCGGATTTTGTCAAACCCGTGCTTATTAATTGGACTTGCTCCCGTATCCTGCAACAGTATACCTGTCTTTTAAATTTATAAAACCTGTCCCAATGTTCAACTCCTTGTCCTTTGACTTTTCTACAATCATATGGGACAAGGGAGAATTGCATTGGCAACACATAGGCAGAGATGTTTGCGCTGTCTGCCACTTTACATTATTGGAGACATCAACAAATTTGGGGTGCCAGATTTGGATGAGCACACTATGACAATTTCGGTAGAGATTGAGTAACTTAACCACTTACGGTCATTCCTCCAACATACCGTATGTTTGATGGCAACTTGTTCGTATTAGGCATGGATTGTAAACCGTTAGATTGGATTTTGTCAATTTGTTATGCATATCCACTGAACAGCCACTGTGACAAAACCTTTCGATGTACATACATGTAGAGCTGCTTCACAAAGTACTATTGTGAGCTCAAATGTGTGTGTTTGCTTTTCTGGTCGTAGTTTTCTGCAAATGCATTCCGCGCTTTGCCACCACCTTCTAACCCCAATGGTGCTGAGTTTGATCCTGAAGAAGATGAGCCATCACTCGAGCCTTCTTGGCCACATCTGCAGGTAATCCGACGGGTCTGTCAGGCAAAGAGTAATGAGATATGACTCAATTCTGTCACATTGCCACACACTCAGTATGTGCAGATGCTTTGACTGTTTCTGGATATATGTTGCTTAGAAGGCTGGTGTCTTTATCAATTATGGTTGTGGTTCCATTGGTTGCAATCCATTCTTCCTTCCGGCCTCTAGTTTTCTCCCATTGCTTTTCACAAAGAGGTTATCTCTACAAGTTACTACAGTTTTTCATGCAGAAGAACGATTCCAAGGCATCCATGACACATTCATATCCTTCTAAGGGTACTATTCATTCTACGGGATATAGCAGCAGTATAGGGAAAGTCGTGATGACAGTTTTCAAAATTTGCACTCATGTGACGTTCCCAGCAGTAAAAGCAGTAGAAGTTCCTGACCCCTTTTCGGAGGAGCTCGGAAACCTTTTACTGTCAGAAACGCGCCAGTAAACGCACCAACACTGCAACGCTCGACGGTTCGACACGTACAGACCACTGCACCAGGGAGTACTAAAAAAACAGTACTACCTGCACTGCACTGATTTTCAAGTTTCAACTACTAAAGTACTCGACATTTTACTTTGAGCTTCAAGCTCACTTGAGATCCGTGCTGCCCTTGAGAATGCCTCCTGTTCTCTTTACCTCCGAAACCATCTCATGCGGGTCGGTCAGCAGGTGTGGGTCCGCTTAGGCGGAAAAAATATCGCTGTTGGCAGAGAAGTTGAATGGCAAAGGGAAAGATTGGATACCGGTATGTGTAGACCAATGGGGATGGGAAACACATCGTGAAACAGGTGCGCGATATGAGCCAGAGACAGATGCATGTAGACAAATGCCGGTTCATGTGCATGTAGTAGTAGTTTCCCTTCAGTAGCTCAGGGAGTCGTGTTTGTACGACTCTCTGGTTTCCCTTAGCTCAGGGAGTCGTGTTTGTACGACTCTCTGGTTTCCCTTAGCTCAGGGAGTCGTGTTTGTACGACTCTCTGGTTTCCCGTGATCAGTTTTACTGGCGTATGTGAATGTAACATGAGACTTGGCACCCTAAACCGCTAGTAAAAGTTTACTGTTCTACTGTACTTCAGTAGTATGAATGCACCCTAACGGTCACTACTTGCTGCCTGTATTTCCTCTGGTTTAGCTTGTATATGATCTGTTCTTACGCTTCCTGGAATCACCGGAATTCATGCCACCAGTGGCTAAAAGATTTCTCGACCAGAAGTTTGTACTTCAGGTATGGCAGTGATACAATTATGATGTGAACTTTGGCTTGCATTGTAGCACACAATATTCTCATTTGGTTTCCGAGCCATGTTATGTCAGACAGGGCTGTGTCTACACGAACATTTGTGTGTGCAGCTCAGCTATGCCTCTCCTTGTTGGATGTGTATATGTTCTACGCTTATGAGTTTGAATAGTTTACTGGGTAGAACTTGCTACCCAGAGCCGAGGGCAGCACTGCATGACCAGACTGCATGACCAGTCTAGCTGGGATCGTGCCTTTATCAATGCATCCATTAACTCGACGTGAATGCTATGTAAGTCTCTTACGTATGCCACTGTCTGTTCACGGTGCAGCTCTTGGACCTCTTTGATAGCGAAGATCCTCGCGAGAGGGATTTTCTGAAGACCACTCTTCATCGGATATATGGGAAGTTCCTGAACCTTCGCGCCTACATTCGGAAACAAATCAACAACATATTTTACCGGTAGGGATACTCGTGGTACAGATGGTGCTTTGGGCTCGGCATGCTGGTAGCAGTATCTTCAAAAAGGACGATCTGTGCACACTCAAACTTTCCTTACCCTGTATTTTGCCATTTTCTTCTTGTTTGTCTCATTTGACAATTGTGCTCTGTACTGTTGATAAATATGGTGTTATTCAGATTTTTTGCTCCGCTGTGCTTCTACTTTCGTCTATATAGCTTCATCTTTGAGACCGAGCGGCATAATGGTGTTGCCGAGTTGTTAGAAATTCTAGGGAGGTAAGGCATATGTAACGAGCACTAAGCCAATTTGACAGCGTTATTAATTGTCCTTGAAAGAATGCTAGGACACGGTTGCCAGGTTAATTGTCAGCTGATAACATACATCAGTGATTGCCAATCATACGCCCTTGGATTCCAGTGCCTAAGTGCATTGCACTATGCTGCTCTATTTGCACACATGCCCACCTTGAGGAGCAGGCACTGAACTACGATCCCTGGCTGACTCGGCCGAAACGTCCACATGCTAAGCAAAGGTCGACTGATTGTAGTGGGTACACATTCCCCATATAGGCCCTAGCTCACGGGCTATGCAATTGCATGGTGGTCCTTCTCACGTACCTCATGTATTGCTGTCGGTCTGCTGCTGATACTGCGTATGTTGTTGGTGGTTCACCATAAACAGGCAGATTTGCTACCGTCTGCAAGAGTTTTAACACATTGCAATGCCACTTTTCTTAGCAGCTATGTCCGCACCAGTGAGTCTTTTGACTAACAAACCGTGTCTATCCTGTTCATGTGTCAATGACTACAGTATCATCAATGGGTTTGCACTACCGTTGAAAGAAGAGCACAAGACATTCCTGATGAGAGTTCTTTTACCACTGCACAAGGTCAAGTCTTTGAGTGTCTACCATGCGCAGGTAGGTGGCTTGGGCCGTAGCTGTAGGTACAGCAGAGACACAGCGCACACACATATCACTAGTAAGATTGTAGACCAAGGCGGGCACTTTATTAGACTGAGACTGTTTTTTTAGGCCATGCATGAACAGCTGCAGCAGATACCAGTGCCAATGTTGCTTGGAAATGGAAGGACTCCTTGTCTAGCTGTGCAACAGCCAACATCCTATTACTTCAATGTGGAATGTGGTGTGTGACATGGCATTGGATGGATGATGCGATGATATCACTGTACCCCTGGCGATACATGTATGGAACTTGCCATTGTCATTGTTTTGCCCACTAGACTCGGGTGTGTATTTCATAGTAGTTCTTGCCTGGGAAGCCGGTATACACGAACAACCCTTAGCTGGTGTTGGATTCTCACATTTTGAAAACCTGGCTGGTCACGCTCAGCTTCAAGTAACTCATGGTATGTCATTGTTTGTTCAGCTGGCATATGGCGTTGTGCAATTCTTGGAGAAAGATCCGGGGCTCACAGTGGTGGTCATCAATGGTCTACTGAAGTACTGGCCCAAAGTACACAGTCCAAAGGAGGTAAGTGGAGAGCCCCTGTGTCTGGCAGGCTTACTTGTTCATTTGTGGCACCGTACAACATAGTGTGTTGTATTTCGACTGCCATGTGCAGTACGTAATACCTTGATTATCGTATCTCTGTTACCGAATGGTTTGTGTATTAGAGAGGTTCCGCACTACGTAAAGTTGAGCAACTTTACGTTAGCGGGCGGGAAAAACCCGTGAATTCGCGAGTTTGCACTCCACTTACGGAAATTTGTCTACGGAGAGTACGTAGATAGGGCTCTGATAACGTAGCTGGTCCGTAAGTGGATTGGGTACAAATTTATGACTCTCTCCCCAGGTCGATCTGGTCGGACACTGCTGCATTCGGAGTTGCCAAGGGCAGCTACGTGATTTGAAAACTCCGTATGGCGGAACCCAGATGCGCATGCAGTTTACGTAAGACTTTCCGTAGATCGACTACGTTTTTTACTAACGTAATTACGTTATGCGGAACCTCTCTATTATCAGGGTCTTGGTATGGTAGAGTTTCATACTCAGTTATTTATATTATGTGTAGCAAGCCAATCCTGCTGACTTACACGTATCATGGCCTGAATCATTGTTCTGCAGGTTATGTTCTTGAACGAGCTGGAAGAAATCCTAGATGTGATTGAGCCGTCCGAATTCGTCAAGGTCCAGGTACCTCTTTTCCAGCGGCTTGCCAAGTGTGTGTCAAGCCAGCATTTTCAGGTATGCAGTGTGATTCTACAGTGGGTTTTATATCAAGCCAAGGTCTGATCGGTTAGGGAATCCCCGGCTGGCATTCTATTAGTTGATGAGTTGGCACCGGCTTTTATACGTATATGTCCCAGTCCCCTTCTAAGCGGCTGTTTGATCATATTATTACTGTATCGTGTATTGCCATGCACTGGTTCATCACTACAACAAAAATGTGTTGCCTTTGGTAGTGGGTTGCCTCACATTTAATTACCGGTGATGCCTCAGCATGTACATCTACATGGAAAATAACTTCTCCACTACACACAAGTCCGGTCCGAAAGTTAGTACGGGTGTGACCACTAAATTCGAAAGTACGTGCTTATTTACAGACGTTTACGGTATCCCAAGAGCAAGGCCTGGCTGTCAAATAATTGGGTGTAGAAGGTTCACCCAGGTATACATCACGGTAAATGCTTACTTTGAGCGAAATCGAAAAATTTGGCTATGTCTAATTATGTTTGGTCGCTGAGACATGTCTAATTATGTTTGGTCGCTGAGACATTGACTCATGAATGCCGTGCGGGACATGGGTGTTTTGTTCCTTGGTTCACCTGCACAGGTTGCTGAACGTGCCTTGTTTTTCTGGAACAATGAGTACATCATGAGCTTGATCAGCGAGAACTGCTCCACCATCCTGCCCATCATGTTCGGTTCTCTCTACCGCAACTCGAAAACACATTGGAACAAGTAAGCCAGTGGTGCTAGTCAGTGAAGATTCTCTGAGCATGTATCCGGAGACATACTCATTTCCACACTGGAGTTGCCCCCCCCCCCCCCCTCTTCTCCACCCCGGAGAAATGGTTCTGAAGTGCGACCCCATAGAGTGGATCCTGCACAATATCGCGGTGCATCTAGTGACGTACATGTAGTATAATCGCTATGCATATGGTGACTTATTATAAGGTATCTATACTCTAGCTTTTCCACTTACTATGTGATACTAACGTTACGTGTGCATACTACATAGCGACTGTCCTATTATGTGGCACTGCATGGCAACCGTCCTGTCGGTAGTATGTGATGCCACAGTGCATGTACCGCTCTATAAGCCGCACTTTAAACAATCGGTGCGCCTTTTACTACAATGCCAATGGTCAAATTAATGGTGGTAAACAGGGTAGATGTGTGTATTTTGTGATGAAAAATCTGAGTGCGGCTTATACTCCAGTGCGGCTTATACTCCAGTGCGGCTAGTACTCTGGAAGATACGGTAACATGCTTGTTGTGTACTTGTATGGTGCTACGCCTTTGTCTTTCAGGACCATCCATGGGCTGATCTACAATGCACTGAAGCTCTTCATGGAGATGAATCAGAAGCTATTTGATGAATGCACATCACAGTACAAGGCTGACCTAGCAGAGTAAGTTGTGGAATGTAGTACTTCCTCCGTATACAAAAACTTCGTGACTTTTTTTGAAGGCTGCGCACAGCTCTGGAATTGTTCAGTTTGACTTTGAATAACACTTGTGTCATTTTCTAACCTACTTACAAGCTATATACAAAGGTGTGTGCGCTATCTTTCATCTTCTTTCATCTGTTGTGTGGGATAGGAATGAACGGCAAGACATTGCTCGCAGGAATGCCTGGTCACAAACACGACAGCTAGCACTGGGAAATCCCAAGGTGAGATTGCCATGCCAGCACCGATTGTCACACACACAAGGTGTACTTCTGAAGCATGTTGTGCTACTGTGCATAGATCAAGTCTGTCCTTTTCTTAGTTGATAGTCACTTGCATTGATCTGGTGTCATCCCGGTGACTTCATTTGGAAGATGCAAGTGGCAGTAATGCTTACAAGCAGTGCCCCGTTCATAGCTCTTGCTTGCACCTTGGCATGAAAATATTATTTCACGAGTTGCCTGTGTTTCTGTTGAAAGGGTTTTTCTGCCCAAAGCTCTCTCGCACAACATTTTTGTTGTGTTCCTATTTTGCTTTGGAATGGTTATTAACTTATTAAATTGAGGCAGTAAGTTGTTAAGTTGTTGCTTTGTTGCTTTGTTGTGTTATTGCAAGTTGTTGCTTTGTTGTTGCTTTGTTGTTGCTTTGTTGTGTTATTGGCACAGGCGGACCTCTTCCCAGCTTCTATGGAAGTTGATGACATCATCAGCAATGGATCTGACAGTTACGTGGCGGCAGCATCCACACCAGCAAGTACAGGCACAGCGGACACAGGTGCCACGAAGAAAGACATTGAGGTACAGTATGTGTGCCAGTGATGGGAAACCATCGTCCGCAATGTTTACTTACCATGATAACAACGCCACCTTGTCAGACCCGTAGTCATTCGTCATTATAATTTTGTTGAGCGTGCTTTTTACTGATTGGAACTTATTGGCCCTTTCCGCCTCCTGTGCGGCAGGTGAATGCCCAGAAGCTGGATTGTCTCTGCGTGCGTTTCTGTCTGGTTTGGTCTGTGTGTCTGGGCTGTCTGTCTGATCATCTGTCTCACTATCTGGCTGGCTGGCTGGCTATGAGGAAAATGACTTGACCATTGTACTGAGAGATAGACAATCCAGTGATTCAATCAGTTCAGTTATGTACCGTTATGTACCGTCGTTATTATCATTTTGCGGGATCAAGTGCCGTTTGTCATCATGGCCACCAACTTACTGCTGCCTGTGTGTCTGTGTGTGTTTCTTTGGTGTAGAATGCGGCTCCAACTGCCGCAGACTCTAAAATGATTCGACGAAAATCCTTCCTGCCCGGTGACCATGAAACCAAGGCCGCCCTAGATCGCTACCGCAGCCATCCTGTCAAATCCGTTAAAGATGACACGCCAGCAAATTAGGGCCTGGCGGTCCTTGGTCAGTGGTTATTATATTTTGATGTTGCTGCGTTAATCAGAGATGGAGGTTCAGCCACCAGTTCTTGCCATGACTTTGCATTGTGAGTTTCAACTTCAGCGAGCTACATTGATGGCAATCACTCTTGTTGGATGCCCAGTGTCAGGCAGTGTTGTTGTTTGGTCTGCAGCTAGGTTCCGAAGTTGCTGTACATGTTCAAGGCTGCACTCATTGTGATCATTAATGGCCTTGACTTTCATCTTTTATAATTATTTGCTCGCTCGGCTTGCTACTGTCGTGAAGCGGCTGGCATAGTGCGTCACCAACGGGTTGATAATGTGCAGGTGCCGCATGCCTCTCTGTGACCTTGTCCCTGCATATCACCATCATCACCGTTGTTGTCGTCAGACTATCTAATTATTATCCTCTTAACTGTTTCCGCGGCAAGGCATTCTCATCTCACTCTGGCTCCTCCCATCTCCAGTGGCGCTGAGCTGCTGGTATCATGCTGGGGACCACCACTGCCACCGCCTCCGTCTCTGCCAGCCCCTGGTTGCCCCCGGTGTGTATGTACATCGGTGTTCACAGTAAGCTGGTGAAGGTTTGCGTGCAATGTTGCGGTTGCTTGTACGGATCGGCAATGCAGTGCATTGTCCTCTTGCCGGCCTGTGCGTTGTGTTGAGGTTGTTTTGCCCCCTTTTGTCTCTTATCAATCAGCCGTTGTCTTTCTTGTTTGTGTTCTTTTGTCTCTGCCAATCATAATACTATTGTCTCTGCCAATCATAATACACCATAATACTATTGCTTATCAAACGTTTTAGTAGCCACAGATTTCAGCATGTATTCATCTGCCCGGGGAAGTCCCGACAATGTATAAAGAATTATGAGATGCCCCATTGGGCTGGCTCTGATTGTGTGCACGTCTGTCAGAAACTATAGCTCTTGGATATACTGCTGTTCAACTTTGCAGGCTGGTGTTCCGTTACTCTACAACTACTTGTCTTATTCAGGATCATTTGATGTCTGCATGCGTGCTTAATACATCCATAATTATAGTATGCCTTACATCTTCGTGTCTGTCCATGATTGACTTTTGTGGACATGGTTTTCTTTTTTCATTTACTGTTTATTGCTGGTTCAGTTTGTGCTTGGCTTTTTTATGTTCTTTTTTTCTAGAAAGAATTTAAAAAAAGTTTCAACCATCTTCTGTGACATGGAAAACCCTACTACGTACACCACACGGCATCCCCATCCATGCATGTCCCTTGGCCTGACTGGGCGGAGTGTGTAGGTATGCGGTATTGCAGAACCTTACTGATCACTGTAATACCAAGAGTACAGTCATGTAATTATGACATTGTATAAGCTCCCGGGAGCTTGTTTGCTCTTGGTAATACCGTACCGGTAAGCACTACGCAGGATCGGCGGAAGCTGTCAAGTTTTGATAGGCCCGACCATAATCAAAACTCTTACTTTATGTATCATAATACAGTATCATAATTATTATGATGGGTGCACAAGACCCCCTTCATATCAGCAGTTTGAGACTAGCCGGACCGGTTCAGCCGCCCCAAACTACAGGATTGTAGTTCGGTCGTCCCTCTCCAGCACTTTAACCAGCACCCTCTATAAACCAGCACAATTTTCAGTAGCCAAAATGTCCTCTTCATGCACATTGCAGCAGTAAATCAGATCATAAGTTGTATTAATCCAGCGCGCTCCCTAATCCAGCACAGTGTTCGGAGCACAACATAATGGTACCGGATTATAAAAGGGACCACTGTAATGGTGGTACTACAGTGTACTATTTTGGGCTCACTTTTTCAGACCTGGATGGCAGCGTGTACAGTATAGTATACAGTATAGACTGTCAGTCATGTACATGACATTGTACGTAACATCAAGAGTATACAGTCATGTGTCAGGCGCGTGCTCGGCGATGGGCACGGGGGGCACGTGCACCCCCAAAAATTTTCAATCTGATCCAAGGCAATTGTAATGTATGCAAATATGCTCTAAAATTCAAGAAAGGTTGCAAACAAATTGCAGAAAATTGCCGGGGGGGGGCTCCCCTCGGCTCCCGTGCACCCCCTAGTTGGGGGGGGGGGGGGGCCGAGCACGCCCCTTTGTTGTTGTTGTTGTTGTATACTTTATTTATAGTGGAAATCAAAACAGGCAAAATGCCTAATAACATTGGACCCACTGTGAATAACATGTTAAAGGATATTGTGGAGAAAAAAAGAAAAAAAAAAGTAGATACAAGAGAAAAAGAGAAAGGAAAAAATGACGGAAGGTTGGTTGCAACGAACAGATATCAATCCAGTAAGCATTGGAAAACCTATGTCGCTGATAATATGCCCCTGTGTGTAACCCCCCCCCCCCCCACATACTCTTGGTTACATGGTAACCTTCAAAGGTCCTTTGAGTAGTTTTACTCGCTTAACATTGACAGACACCATGGCAACTCAAGTTACTTCCACAAGGAGCGTGGTATGGCTTCCACCCATGAAGTCACAGTTTCTGGAGCCTGTGGAGGCTACAGGAAAGGTTGGAAAGCTTAGCTTGTAGCTTGTTCTTCGTCACGGTCCCGGGCGTGTCCTGGTAGGGTTTTTTTGCTACTCCCTGGTACAGTATTGTACTACGGTAGCTATTTAGAGCGGCAAGCAGAACAGGCAAATGGCCTAATGACAATGACATCGCTGTAGAGAAGCGAACGAAGAGGAGATGACGAAACAGAAGTACAAGAGATTAAAAGAACTACAAAAGTCCGGCATGGCTGAAGGAAATGGCCACTAAGTAATAACACCAGTTAGGGTTCGGTGACCTGCAGAAAAATCGGCAGAATCTGGTATCTTTTCTGGCATGTTTCAACTTTGGTATGTGGATAAAGAAATGGAGCAGAATTCAAGGAAGTGCCTGCCATAAGGTTTGAATAGTTCTGCCAAGTTTTCGAGCATTGTCCACCAAGGGCTAATGTCAGCACATACATGTACATACATGATATAATCCAAAACTGGTAAACAAAACCGGGGCTCTGCCAACCGCGGAAGGTTGTAGTAAGGTCACTGTTTTCGAACACAGTGTCCTCCTCCTTGTTTCATGCTGTCAATCTAACAATTGCATGTACATACATGTACATGTACACGCTGAGTCTGCTATGTACATGTAACGTCACATTTACATGACTGTACATATTCTTGTTAGATTGACAGCATGAAACAAGGTGGAGGACACTGTGTTCGGAAACAGTGTAGTGACTTTACTGCAACCTTCCGCGGTTGGCAGAGCCCCGGTCCGTTGGGATCATCTGAACCATAATTATGGGTGTTGAACCCGGTCATGACCCTCATTTTGCTAGGGGGTTTGGAGACTACTCCGTACGTCCGTCGTGTATTCTTTGATCGCTCCTGGATGTCGTCCTGACTCCTGGTAGTCGTGTAGCTACTTGAACCTCAACTTGTATATAAATTTCTGTGTTACGACGTGGTGAAGGCCTGGCCGCGTCGGGACATCACCAACCCCGTCTATAGTATAGAGCACCTTCTCGCGACAGTGTCATGGTGGTGGCAGTAACTGTTGACAGCTGGCGAGCTGAGAGAAGGACGCCATGGGCAGAAGTTGGAAGAAAATAAATGTATATACAAATTGAGGTATAAGTAGCTACAGGACTACCAGGACGACATCCAGGAGCGATCAAAGAATACACGTTGATACTGCACTGGCTACTCCATTCTTCTGTATCTACCTGAGGAGAGGGCAATGAAAGTGTTAGTGGAATGTCGGAATGTTGCCTGAAGCTTGTTCTATTCCTTAGTCTGATTGCATTTCGTCTCCTAGAAAACTATTTTAGGACTTCTGTTTCTTCCCAGTACAGCGTCAGGATACGGTGTAAATGACGTTTATAATAGTTGGACGTCAATGCAATAGAACGGATCAATGCGAGCAGAGTCATTGCATCCAGGGTTCACTGTTTAGTTGCACATAACCTAACGCCGGTATGGAGGAAAGGACGTGTATTGCGTAATGTACAGGTATTGGTCTTGGAGCGGTGGCAATGGCATAATGAATGGTGCCTGACCATAAATGGTGGTGCTGGCACTAGGTCTGGAGCAGGTACACAATCATCAATGCTACACCCACAGACGTCGGTGGCTCGTGTGAAGTCTTGCTTCGAATCCCAGAGATACAGGATCTACATGATGACTAGTAGTAGTACTAAGTCTTGTACCCACTGACATGATGATAGCCTCTTTCGCATGTACATGTATGTATAATGTTATGCAGCCACTACCGTATTGCATATTGCCCGTATTGCGGTGTATGACAATTACAACGTTACATTTGCTCGGGCCTCGTCTCCAGCCTCAGTCCAGGTACTAGGTCTCTGCAATGCAGTCTGGCCTGGATCCTCCCAGTCTTGCGCATGTTGGCGCAGCTGGCGCCAAATAACACGTCACAAGCGCTCGAAGTACAGTCAGTGTACTCAAGTCTGTGCTATACAGTTATCTGTGTCTGTCATCATGCATTATCATGTCGGCTATGGCATGACCATGATGACTGACCAGGTGACGTTCATCGTTCAGTGCATGCCTGACTCTACGTGTAGCTGTCACTGTGTCAGTGTCATTGACCTGGATTTGTCGCACCTTCGGGCGATGTACCTGCGATCAGTCGTCTACGGTCTACCAGTAAAGCGACAGTCTACCATGTACCATGGTCTCCCAAACCTTATTTTTGAGTTCAGAATCAGGTCCTGTAGGCTGTACATATGCCAATATAGCATTGTAATCAGGCACGGTAGCGTTGTGCAAAGGTGGGGGAATGCCGAATGGCAAGCAGAATGGCAAGCAGACGATAAAGACGGTCAAATCGTGTTAGTGTTAGTGTTGTTTTTTTAGTTAGTGTTAGTGGACATTATACTAGCGTAACTTGCAGTTCCCTGGTTCTTTTTTCTTTTATAAATCGTGTTACATAATTATTATAATAGCGTATGGACTCATGGACTTGCTGGACTCATGAGAGCACTGGACATACCCTAGACTGTCTGTACTGATCGTAGGTAAAAAATACAGTTGTGCAGAATATGATCCGATGGCAACATAACTGTAGGCCCTACTTCCAGCAACAATGCCAAAATGCATGACAGCAGGCATAGGGAAGACTGCGCTAGCGCTGCACATGCATGGTAGATCTACTGAGTACTGTGGGCCTTGTGGCAGACTTCAAGTGCAGGGACGTTACGTGAGTCGTTAGGTAGGAACGCGATCTGTCTCACTCTGCATCTGATACGAGTGTCTGATCTGCATCAAGCTATCATGCATGTAACCGCATAGATCAACGGTCGGAATCAGGGAGTCGTATAGACCCGGGAGGCGACACGCGCATCACTTGTGCACAACCATGATCGACTCAACGATTCAAAATATTACGACCTGCTCGGTGTGGGACAAGTCCGTACATAGGTCATAGCGCCCGGGAAATCCGTACATAGCGTCGTCTTCGTCCTTTCGCTGAACAATTGTGGTCAGACTTTCGATCGCCATTGCCGAAATACAGCCATCTGTGGCCATCGCTGAGGAGTTCACTAATACAGGGTCTTGTTCACTGGCTTACTCACTGGCTTTGCACTGCCACTCGAACTCTGAGGCACTTTGACCACCTAAGATGAGGTAATCCTTTCTTTACAAATTGCCTCAATATTTTCTCACCTTTAGGGCAATGAAGTAATTTTTTTCCTCGTGACTAACTTCGACCGACCAAGTTGCCCTGTCCCAGTGATCTACAATACTTATATTGCACATTTGTGAAATATTGGACCTATCCAGATAAACGAAATGACTTTTATTCGAAATTACATTTTCCAAAGTTTTCCTTCACAAATAGTCCCAATTTCTTCTCACCTTTAGGGCAATGAAGTCAATTTTTCTTCAGGACTAACATCGGCTAACAAAGTGGCGCTGTCCCAGTGATCTACAATACTTATAATCATTGCACATGTGAAATATTGGGAGTCACAGAGTGAGGAAATGGCCTAAATTGAAACTTGAACTGTTCTGCCAAGTTTTATGCAGTGAACGCAGGGCTGAGAGCCCGCAAGAGCCATCCCGGAAGATCTTGTGCGCCACCAACCGAACCTTCGGTGAATGTTCACAAGGTTAGAAGCTCGCACAGATAACACACATTGGATGCTAATAGTAATACAATGCACTCAGGAATGTGTGCAAATACGACAGAATTAATTCCAAATAAAGTCAACAATAGCTGCCTCAACACAGTGCCATCAACCTTCCGTATTTTCCATATTTGTACGGAAAATCACTACTTCGTCCCCGCTATGGATTTTGAGAAAAATGTACGGAAAATTGAACGGGATTGATCAGTATGTATAAGCATTGCAAGTGCAAGCTGAGCGATGAAAAGAAGAGAACCGAGTGGAAAGAAAACGCTGCAGTGGAGAGTCCTTAGAAAAGACTTAAAACATATCAATAATATCGCTGCACGAGATCATCCTTATAAGTTATAACGTCAGCTGATCGTACTGTGGTTGATTCATACGGCGGTAAATACACACCTGCCTACACACGCTCTCTAAACTGAAAAGTTATTCTGGCACAGAGCTCTCCTTCCCGCCACCACCACCACCATCATCAGTTCGCGTCTGGCGCCTAGTCGATGCAGGGTGAGTGGTGTCAGACATAGCAGGCTGGTACATCAGGTAGCGTATGGCGCATAGCAGATGACACAGCAACAACATAGCTTGATTGCGACGTACCTTTCGTCCCGGCTGGACTCTTCAGGCAATCTTCTTCTTAGATGTCTTCACAAGGAGCTTGACTCGGGAGAATGAAGTTGAAGACTCCACTGCAACTGCACTTATGGTTGGTTCATATGGTGGTAAATACACACCTGGCAATATGGGGGTAAATACACGCCTGCCCAGACACGCTCTCTAAACTGCAAAGTTATTCTGGCACAGAGCTCTCCTTCTCACCACCACCACCACCACCATCAGTTCGCGCCTGGCGCCTAGTCGATGCATGGTTAGCGGTATCCGACATAGCAGGCTGGCACATCAGGTAACGCATGGCACATAGAAGATGGCAACGACATAGCTTGATTGCGACGTACATTTCGTTCTCTTGGTTGTGCTGTAGCCTGAAAAAGGAAATAAGACAATGCATCCACATGACGCAGACAAGTATTATTACTGTTACAAATAATGCATACTGCTTGATAACAGAGAAAGAAAGTCAGTGGTCACACAAGTTTTTGGTCGTCCCTGAAACGAAGATCGTTCCAGGGGGGGGGGGGGGGGGGGGGGGAGCTAAAATCTCAGTCCACTGACGCTATGCATACACATGTACATGCATGCGATTTTCGTCGTCCATTCATTTCGGAGGGTGGAGAGGAGGTCCGAGTACGAAATGAATGTTTTTTTTCAGGGATGACTAATCACTTTTGCGATGACCCCTTATTGCATCAATTTATCGTCTGAACTGCGCAATTGAGTCCCACTTTTATTATGTTGGGTCCAGATTTCAAGACTCGTGAAGTTCGAGGCGAAAAGCAGGCCGATGAAGGGACGCCAGTAATTCAGTCTAGTCCGGTGTCATGGAGAGGGGCCGATGAACCGGCAACAAGAGAATTCAATACGCATGCTACTCTTCAGTTCATTGCTGGGGAAGACTACTCAAGGCCACGTCACTCCGGCAATTTAATGTACAAATCAGCAGCAACACTTGCAAACGTATTCCTACCAGCTGACCAGCAAGTTACCAGCCATCAGCTCTTCAAATAATTTCAACATAACAAAGAGAGGAGATGGACAGATCGGAAAGTATCGTGGCAAGCTCAGGACAACACACGTCCGGCCCTATGTAACAACAGTGGAAAGTGCGTGCCATGGTATATTTTCGAAGGCATATCAAAAACCAGCTAATGTGGACTGGGAGTCCATTTCCATCGTCCGATCAGCTGCTACAAGTGCCGTGAGCCAATGGCAAACACGTTTGACAGAGACTACTACCTCTACTGAATGCAACTTTGGCATGGCAGAGATCTACAAGCACGTTATCTTATCTATCAATAGAGTTGTATCCTCGTATGACTATGTGAAGTGTGAGGTTGTACTGCACTGCAGACGCGTCTACGACCTGGTTGGAAATGTACGCAACAGTTCCCACCCTCTTGACTAGAGATCGCACACACCCTAGGGTTTTGATGGGTTTGTACGACTCCCAGCTCTTGACTTTTGTTGGGTGTACGAGACGCACGCACAGTTTTCTTAGGGTGAGTACTTTTTCATGTAGTACTGAATGCGGCAAGCAGGACTCGCCCATCCGCCCCTCCCCAAATGGATCTACTCGAATGGTTCCGGAGGTAGGGGTGCTCTGGCAGGATTTTACGACATACACAAGCGCGCACACACGCACACAATATACACACGCACGCACACACATACACACGAACGCACGCTATGTCGCACGTCTTGGGCATGGCTTCGTGAATACAAAATAATTTAATGTTATAATTTATAGGATCCAAATGTTAGAGCAGCTTTACAAAACCTACCGTTCAATACCGGATCATCTTGTGACAGCTTCCTTGCAACACCCATGACTTGACCCCACTTCGTCTTGACGTCGGGAAATCGTTCACACCGGAGTTGGGACACGACTCATTGAAATCCAGGCCTATCTGCTGCTGGGAGCAGGACAGAGCTGATGGACGTCAGCAGCGGCTGTAGAACAACCATAAACGAGTCGTCTTTCTCCCCAGTCAGGCGGGACAGCAGCTTTGCAACGCAAGCTTCTTGCCTTCTGTGGGTCTTTAGCGGCTGGGATTCGGAACGCTCTGTAGAAACCATTGAACAAGAGTACCCGTACTGCACTCTATCAACCCACAAGTATTTCTTCCAATTCATGATTATTCGCAACTTTTTATGCAGTACGCGCACCAGATCAGAAGCCGCTAAGTAGCAGCAAGGTTGAAAGTTTCAAGACAAATTGAAAAATATAATATATTAAACATAGAAAATTAGAATTCAAACCTCGTACCTGTGGCCCAAGCCAATACAGACTGAGCGTTCACGCGAAGAGAACGTACATCTACGTCAGCTGAGGTTTCCTTAGGATCAGGAGGTGATTCTTGACCCGGATCTGGATCGCGATCAGCAGCACTCTCTGCCTCAATCACGATCATCAAATGCAACTAATTACTTGGAAAAGTAGTTCATTCTTCTTCTTCTTTTCGAGCTACGATTTCCCACGATCCTATCGATCCTGCACGAGTCCGTTCCCCAAGGAGTGCACTCCCAAAATCCCATGGCACAAGTACGCGGAGTAGTTGGTTTATAACTCAGGGCACGCACCGGGGATATCTGAGGGAAAAGTGGGAGAAAGTGCCGCGAGTCAATCATAGTCGGCCCGGAAGGCCTCGTGTCGCCTCCCGGGTCTATACGACTCCCTGGTCGGAATCCTGATCTGAAAGAGTGCAAATTTCCGAGGCCTTCAATGATAGAAGCAGATTTTTTCTTGGTTGCAACCTCAGATCAGCTGCAAGTGTTCTTCAACAGTCAAGTTCTCTGGAGGATACGCATGGTGAACACTGCGGCTCAGCCTCGTTGGATGTGATGAACTGCGGTCCCTGGAGCTCGGCACGAAGATCATAGTACTGAATGGTGGATGGTGTTTTGGCAAGGTCATCCAGACTGACTGTTTCGGAATTCTGAGCAGCACGAGTAAAAAGAGCCCTGGACCGAGTGAATGCAGTGTGCGGGAACAGTACTGCTGGCTTCTTGCTGACCAGCCCAGCCGTGTGGGGGTCAATAGGTCACAGCGACCATGGAGTGGGTAGGCGGCCTGAGCGGGACCGAGACGGTCGAGGAAGTGGCCTTGGAGAAGCGAGTCCGAGTACAAGCTAAGGTATGTAGTCTTGTAGAGTTCTATCACAACGCTAATGTTACACTGCACTGCATAGGAGTTCTGTTCTACTAGATGTTTTGTAGCGATAAGATTGAGAAATAGGGAGAGAAGATATTGGCTGTGTGATGTAGATCTACCATACACCCGTGAGCATGTTAGCGAGCATGACCACAGTCGAGCAGCCCGCTACATCACTCATACCATACAGCTTGATAGTTCTCCCATCGAATCCGGAGCCAGTCATCTGTATGCATATGGTTGATTGTGTGCAATGTCATACAATCATGTACATGGCAATGATTGGATAACGTTAATGCATACACATGGTGAAGTAGCATAAAGATAGGAAGAACAATTAGTACATACGAGTACATCAGTTAGCTTTGCAATTGCTGAGGACATTGCAAGAGTGCGTACATTTTCTCCGATAGTGTGACAACACAAAATATCGTAGAGATTGTGTATTATGTTCAGGTAGGACAGACACTACTGCATGGTCATGTAGCCAAGCCTACAGAAGATCTACGCTGAGTTTTCAAACTCACGCTCACCTTTGTTGAAACACAGTAACCATGGTAACATTGACATAACAAATACATGCGGGTCGTACGTCAAACAACCAGTTACTACTGCCGGTACATAGACTTGACCCATGGCTATAATTATATAGCTGTGGTTAGAAAAAGGCATTTTCCCAGGCAAGGAACGAAGGCAGGCGGGGGCTTGGGATAGATGGGTCACTCTGGTTGAAGTTGACAATAATTCCAACCTTGAGTTAGTAACTTGCATGTACCCCGGCTGAAAACACCATGCACGTCATGCTCATGCACATCTACCTCAGAAAGATATAGCCTTAACTAGAATTGTACCTGCTTTGTTTTGTCCATTGATTACAGACTGCGGAGGAGATATCAGCACTCTGCATCGACCTGGCACTCTCACCAGTGGACAAGGCTCTCAAGTTACTAAAGTAAAGCTTTGGAGTTAGATGTTGTCAAAAAATTCTTTCAGTGCAGCGGCTGTGCAAGACTTTGCGTATCTCATGATAGTTGTTTGTGAGGGAGGTTATGAGGAGCCAAGTGCAGTTTGGGATGCAGTTGATTGTTGCCAAGTACACTCAAATGGCCAAACATGATTATTATCATTTAAAAATGTTATCAAGCTGTACCAGTGTGTGTGTGTGTGTGTGTGTGTGTGTGTGTGTGTGTGTGTGCGTGTGCGTGTGCGTGTGCGTGTGCGCGTGCGCGTGCGCGTGCGCGTGCGCGTGCGCGTGTGTGTTGTGTGTCTGTCACTTTGATAAAGCTTGTCTGTTGTTTTGTGTTTTCAGGGGAATTTCGATTCAAAGGCAGAGGGTGTATGCTGACTTGGCAAAGTTGGCTAAGCAATGTCCAACTGAGACAGTGGAGAAGATCATCCCAAGTATTGAGGTATGCCCAAGGAACATTTTAAAGTCATATTCATGTGGCACCATAATTCCAACGGCATGGAAAATTGCGGTGAACTGAGCGCTTTTAAGAAAAACAGGCAACGTATTATCCACCCAGGGCTGGATGCACTGTGAATACATGCACAGCAAGCATACCTATTGCACTGGGTGTGTTAGACTGAACTAGGTCTGCATTAGTAGTCCAGTATATCTGAATTGGCAGTGTACGACTCGTATCTACACATGCAGTGATGAATTAGGATACTGGCTAACACTGGCTAACACTGGCTAACACTGGCTAACACTGGTCACTGTTCACTGGTTACTGGTACAGTGCTGGTACAACTGAGAACACTACTCTGCCGAGTGTGGCCAGGCAGCCGAGTGTGGCCAGGCAGCCGAGTGTGGCCAGGCAGCCGAGTGTGGCCAGGCACTGCGGCTGTGGCCAGGCAGCAGCAGCTGTGGCCAGGCACTGCGGCTGTGGCCAGGCACTGCGGCTGTGGCCAGGCAGCGGCAGCGGCTGTGTTGGAAGGTTTACTCACTGGGGTCTCTGGACTTGCTTTCTTCTGATGATCGCTTAGTGCGTGAAAAAACTCGGAGTAAAATACTTTTTGATCCTCTTACTCTTGTTGCAACTAGCTCGGTCTTTCTCTAGCTCGGTCTTTCGGCATTGAGCACTTTATTGGACAGCCTGGAACCTCTCTGTTTTTAGAGTTGCTATGATATGCGGGTTAATGTTTCTACGTTGTTTGTGTATGCATGCCATGACTATAGCCGGACTTGCGCAAGATGGACGTTCGGCAAGTTTCACTCGTTGCGGAGTCGCTGGTGACGATATGCAAGGAGAAGTCACTACCCGAAGCAAAGATACAGTCAACGTGCCTGCGGATAATTCTAGATATGCACAATACATGGGAAGGACGAGGTAAGCTGCTTACGGGAAGTGCTACACAGTGACATTGCCATACAGAGTAACCAGAATAATCACCAGTATGTCAAACTACAGGTGTGCTCGGTGAAATCCAACCCAAAATGAAGATTTGCGCCCTGGACTTGCACAATTCTCGAGAAGCAGGAAGTGGTGCGAAAGCTGAATGACGCACACATAATAATTATACAAATACAGTGAGTGATCAGAACTGGTCCAGGGCATCAGCTTTGTACTTCAGGTCAGATTTCACCTGGTGCAACTGTACATGTATTAGAAGTTCTTGCACAAGGACTAGTTGTGGAGATGTGTGTGTGTGGTGGGGGGGGGGGGGGGGCTGTCTGACTTCATAAACATTCTTCGAGGACAAGCAATACTCCATCAAGAGCAGAGACTTAACAAGGGATTGATCCTGTTCTAGGTATTTAAACCGCGGCGTACATGTATGTCAGGAACTGTGGCAGCTACATTCTTGGATCTGTATTCCTTGCTCTGCAGGTGAGAGTAATCTCTGGTTTCGTTGTCTCGTCGACTGCATCCCACACCTACCAAAAGCAGCAATGATGAATGAGGTGGGTTATTGTTGAATTATCTACTGAAGTAGGCATTCATCCTTTCCTCGGCTGCAGCAAACTCCACATGTTGTTGTCTCGTGCAGCGCCACATGAAAAAATCAGTGCTAATGGCATCAAAGTGCCAAAGAGGACAGGGGGGGGGGGGGGGCAGTAAAGTCACCCCGTAGTGGTCCTTCTGCTCTGGCAGGAATTCATCTTTCACATCTCACGTGGAATACATTCAGGCACGCATTGTACTGGCTGGCTGCAACCATTGCAATCCACCTCCTCCATCTGGCATGGTGTCATAGCATGATGTCATATGAGAAAAAGAATGAACTTGCCCTCTGTACAATGACTCTGAAGCCGGACGAATAAGGATGACCCTGCCAAGCCCTATCCAGGGATGACATGCTTTTCAGAATAGACACTGCGATGACCTAACATCATGCTTATAGAATGTTTTGCGTGAACCTTTCTTCCTTTTCTCTTGTATACCCATAGATTGTTGCTCTCATCACCGAGTGCAGTCAACACTCACAGCCTGTTCAAAAACGCATGGAGAGTGCAACGTTGATCGGCATAGTAGCTCCCAGAATGACATCAGATTGGTAAGTATGCAGATTACTTTGGGCGCAGTATAATAATAAATTTAATGTCGTATTTTCCGGAGTATAAGCCGCACGCTCAATTTTTGCCACAAAATACAGACATCTATCATAATTATTTATCACCGTTAATTTGACCATCGGAGTATAAGCCGCAACCCCCCCCCCCCCCCACCCCGCTTGGGGGTGGGGGGGGGGGGGGGGGGCGCGGCTGTAGCGATGTCCGTGGGCATTCACCGTCAGCCTTCTCGTCTCCTGCAAAATAGCCTTCAAGTGTGATTTAGGGTGATGGTCCTCTGCCACCTTTGCTGGTCTTGGCTGGTGGAGGGGGGGGGGGACAAACAGTTCACCTATTTTTTGCTATGTTCCACTATTGCATTGTCCCAGAACAATGCAACGTATGGGTGCACAAGAGCACCGTGAACGGTCGATTTGTGGCTCCATTTTCACTGTGTGAACTGAAAACACAAAAATCAAAAAAATGAGTAGGCCGGTTGGTGCGCCACCAGAGTAGGTGGGCGCTACCCCCCCCCCCCCCCCTCTTCCTTTGGCTAAAACCCTGGGCTACCTTCAAGTGTCCCTTATTGTTACCATTGCTTTCTTTCTTTCGGGTGGTAGCGGCCATTGGAGTCCCTTTGGAGACAGTAGCAGCAAATTTACTATTTTCGCACTACAAACTCTTGGCAAGGGCAAAAGAACCGAGCAGGAAAGTATCATCTGCCACATCACCCACCTTGTGCTATCAATATCAGATAGCTATGCCCTGGAGGTACAGCAGATCAGATAGCTATGCCCTGGAGGTACAGCAGATCCTAAATGGAACCGTTGTATAGAGAGTATGCTGATGGTGTAGTTCCTGCTCAAAGTAGCTAAATACACTGTGACCCTGAACAGCCCTACAGCTAAACACATGATAATTATGTGATATGATATGATATGTGATACATGCAACGAAATAATTACGACATCACTGCGGCCAAAATCCGAGGCTAGCACACAGACACAGCACTCCTGCTCCAAGCCGCCAACATGCCCCTAGTGCTTTTTACAGCCAGCGCACACCTGCTACAAGTACATCAAGCACACCCATGACCAATCCATGTTTTCTACAAGCGAGCACTGCATCCATTGCTGATTTCGAAATGGCATCCACAGCATGTTTCAGGGTGGACCTAATGATTCATTTGAATCACCCAAGGTGATTCGGACTGTACAGGCTGGTGTGGACTGTGTACAGCCTTTTGGATTGTTTATGGCATGTTGGACCAGATAGTGCGTGCTGGACTGGAAAGGGTGTCTGGACTGCCTTGCGTTGTTTGCATAGAAACGTGGCACGTGCAAGTGAGCAGTTATCTCGCTACTTCAAAAATACATGTACGGCCAGTGTACCCGCTAATGACACTACACGCTGTGTTGTGTTGTGCTTGTGTGTGGTCTGCTCAGGTTACAGCAGAAAGCACTGCCACTGGTCAGAGTCCTTGGACAGGATCTTCAAGGAGATGTACGTGCTACGATGGCTGCGGCTTACGATGCAGTCTGCAGACAAGTCCAGTAAGTATGCCGCTCTGTGTGGGCATTGCACGTGCAGTGTCGCAGCAAAGTGTTCAATTCAGCCATCTTGTGCTGCAATAGATTGGAACCATGACACCCATGACAAGGAGTTGATGACCATACATAAAGAAGGGTTCTGTGCATGAAAAATTGAGTTAAAACTCACCTTTCTGAGACCCTGACAACCGTGAATGTGATATGTGATGGACATATCAAGTTGACTCACCCCCCCCTCACACATACACACACACGCACCCACACACATACCCACCCACGCACCCACACACGCACCCACACACGCACCCACCCACCCACACACACACACACACACACACACACACTCACAGTCTGTGGGATTGCCCTAGTAAAATAATAAATACTACTACTAACTGTTACTGCTACTACTACTACTACTACTACACACACACACACACACACACACACACACACACACACACACACACACACACACACACACACACACACACACACACACACACACACACACACACCATTGGACCATTGGACGCCCATCGCCGAAGGCGATGATAGCGATGCTACAGCAGAAGCCATAGCAGCTTGTGCTGGGATTGCACCATTCAACAACTTGCAAGGCTGAAGAATTGACCGCCACTATTCAGCCTGGTCTACACCACACAGCTATGAAGTGGCTTTTTCTGGCCAGTGAATCCCTACTTTCATACACACACACACACACACACACACACACACACACACACACACACACACATCAGTGTCTGGAGATATGTGGATTTTGTAGAAAGAAAGAAAACACACACACACACACACACATCCTGTCCTGTCCTGTAGAGCCACTGCCACAGGGGTCACGTGGGCCCCGGAGGGGCATCAGAGAGGAAGATGGAGCACGCAGCCTGATGACGCCGGAGATGGTGGAGCAAACGGAACCGGCGAGAACACACGCATACATGGCTGAACGAATTACGCTGCTGGGCATTCGGGCGCGGGCCAGTCCTCGAGCACCGGTGACGACCGCGGCCTTGCATAGACCGAAAGCAGCGGGCACACACAGCACAGTGCGCAGCACAGCAGGCATCCTGCACATAGACTTGCCGGGGCTCGGGAGGCTGAGGCTGAGGTGCGGAACAGCGGTGAACAGCTAGACCACCCTTGCTGCGAAACCAACGCCCACAATCTCCACAGTGGCAAGCCCCTCGCTGCTCAGCAATCGGCTTTGCCCGCTCAACCACACATTTGTGGCGAGCACGATCTCCAGGGCGCGAGAATGACCGATTGCAATCCGCACATACCACTGGGTCAGGCTGAGGCACATTCTCCACAGGCTCGGCGTACATAGTCCGCCAGTCAGCACGGGACTCACAGGCGATAGGGTACCATTCCTTGGTGAGGCCACGAACTCTTAAGTCGGAGACAACGCAATCCTTCCAGCGCTTGCGAGGGCCATGTGCTGGGCGACGTGTGAGAAGTGAGCCAAACAGGATCTGTCTCGGCATCCGGCTACTGTCCATTCGAGCAACATGGCCCAGCCACTCTAGGCGACGCTGTGCGACCTTCACGCAGATGGTATCAGAGTCACCCCACATCTCCAACAGTTGGGCGTTGGTCGTGTGATTATTCCAGCAATCTCTGCGGGACACACCCAGGATGGAACGGATGCACCGCATATGAAAGACTGACAAACGTCTGAGATCGTGTTGCAATGGTGTCCAACACTCTGACCCATAGAGGAGGAGCGACAGCACACATGCATTAAACACACACCTCTTGATATGCAAATCAAGGTCAGGATTGCTGAAGATGGTTCCTTGCAAGGCGCCACAAGCACGAGAGGCATGCGCAATCCGAGCAGTGATGTCCTGTGTCGACCGGCCACCGCGATGAATGAGAGATCCCAGATACCGGAACTCCGAAACACACTCGATGACCGTGCCAGCTAGCTCGATTGGAGCGCAGTCCCCAGGCGAAACATCCCTACCTGCAACCAAGAACTGTGTCTTGGTAGCGCTAACTTTAAGCCCAAACTCAGCTGCGGTCGTGTCAAACACTGCAAGTGCCGTCTCCGCCCCTGCACGAGTCGTCGCGAAAAGTGCTGAGTCGTCTGCAAACTGTGACTCAGTGGCAATGGCAACCGGATCCGTCCTGGTAGGCTTGCGGTAAAGGTTATTGTCACCATCACAATGCCGGAACTCAAAACCAACACCGGGTACATCTCGGACTCGTCGCTGCCACACAGTCACCACCGCCCACATGAAGATGTTAAACAGCACAGGTGCCATGGTGCACCCCTGACGGAGACCATTCGTGACGCGGATAGGGTCAGTTGTCGTGTTCTCTACCCGAACCACCGCCGACATGTCAGTGTGAAAGGAACGGATCACGGCAAGCATGGGAGCAGGGATACCCGCTCGGGATAAGACTTCCCACAGGCAATCCCGAGGCACGGAATCATAGACATAGGCTTTCTTGAGGTCTATAAATACAAAGAAGCCTTTGCAGTCGTGCTCAATGGTCTTCTCGAGGAACTGCCGAACACTGAAAACCATATCTGTACAAGATCGGCCACGCCTGAAGCCACACTGAGACTCTGGGAGAAAATCTGCAGCCACGGACTGGAGACGAGTCTGGATGACGCTCGCCAGAACCTTGCCCACAACATCCAGCAGTGAGATACCCCGCCAATTATCACAGCGAGATAAATCCCCTTTCTTTGGGATGGGGACCAACGTGGCGTCCACCCACTCCTGCGGGACCACCCCAGCACGCCACACATCGCCAAACAGCTCCACAAGCTTGGCGGTGAGGTCAGGGCCACCCCTCTTCAGCATCTCAGGGAGGATGCCAGAGGCTCCAGCGGACTTGCCGTTCTGTAGGCGGGAGATAGCGCGGCTGACTTCACGGAGAGTCGGCGCCTCAGCAAGATGATCAGCCTCCTGTCGCTGTGGGATGTCGTCCAGGGCATTGCGATTCCATGCACTTGCCACGTTGAGAACACCGTCAAAGTGTCTTCCCCACCGGTGGCTCTGCTCCTCTGGTGAACTACAGATGTTACCGTTCTCATCCAGCACGGCGGAAGTGCGCACAGGGGCGGGGCCCCGGGTACAAGACTGGAGGTCATGGATGCACTTCCATACGACCGCTCCATTGAATCTCGACTCTGTGGCCGCCTGTGCCTTTGCCTTTATCCAGTCTACCCTAGCCGAGGATATGGAAGCACGCGCCCTGGATCTAGCCACCTTAAACGCTGTGTAGTGCGAGCAGTCGCGGCTCTGGCCACTACATAGCCAGTCGGTATAGCACCGATTCCGTTCATCTAGCAATGGCTGGATGGCTGACTCTGCCTCCCGAAACCAGTCTGGTTGGCGACGCCGGGAGAAGCCCAAGACAGACGCAGCAGACTTGTCGATAGCCGCCTTGACGTTGGACCATTTCTGATCTATGTCGTGCTGTTCTTGCCATGTATCTACAAGCTCGGTTGCAATGGTAGCTTGGTACCTTTCTGCAGGCGAAGGTGAGTCCGGGTCCGAGGTGCGCACCCGCAGCTGGGCAACATCATAACGGCGGCGCCGCACATTTGCCCGGTCGCGCTCCCGAACTAATCGTCCACACGGGAGTGCAAAAGTTAAACAGAGGAGTTGGTGGTCACTTCCACACTCAGCACTGCGCGCGACCGCAGTGTCCATACACCAACGGCGGTCCTCCTGGCGCACTAGAATGTAGTCGATACAGTGCCAGTTCAAAGTGCCTGGGTGCTGCCAAGTCCGCTTGAAGAGGTCTCGCTTGGGGAACCAGGTGTTACAAATACTCAACTGATTGAATGCAGCAAATGATAGCAGGTCAGCTCCTGAAGAGTTCAGTGCACCAAATCCATGCGGACCACGTACAGTGGACCACTCATCACCCTGCTCACTAGATCCAACTCGAGCATTGAAATCGCCAAGCACTACACAATGGTCAGTCTGGGGTACATCGTACAGAGTGCGTTGTAGATCGTCATAAAATAGTTCCTTGCATGCCCGCGACGCAGCAAACGTTGGAGCTTAAACGCTGACCAGAGTGAGCCAAACATCCGGTCCATCAGCTGCACAGTACTTCAAACGTACACTCACAATCCGAGAACTCACCGCGTTCCATACGCAGCCGCCAGCCCTCCACGCCGAAGTTGTATCACGATTCAAAACAAGAGCAACTCCCTCACCTCGACGTCGATTATCCTCTTCGCCAGGAGTGGGGCGGCCCGAACAGATCACAGTAAATCCGTTGACAGCGTAGATATTTTGTCCAAACCAGTGGGTTTCCTGCAGGCCTGCCGCCGCCACTTTCAGCCTTTTCAGTTCAGAAATAACTCAGTGAATTTTTTTGTCTTCCACGACGCGTCCAGAAACACAAGCAGTGTCGATGTCGCCGTCCCGCTCCACCAAGGATCTCACGTTCCATGAGCCCAAACACAGCAGGCAACGTCTCCATCTCCCTCTCTTCTCTCTGACAGATTTCATCGCGCGATGTTGTGGAAATCCGCTCGGGGGCTTGTCAAACCTCCGCGAGCGGCGACGTCGGGTACAACTAAAAGTGACGGCACCAAATTGCCGTCCCGTCTCTCAGCTGTATGCTTCCCTCCGTCATGCGCTTTCCCTGGCCTAGAGGCGGCCCAAAGAGGGCCGCCTCAGGCCTCCGTGAAGTTTACAAAGGTCGAGGACTTTCAGTAGGCAGGAGCTCAAAAAAGCACAACCGTCCCCAGTGAACAGAGGGACACACACATACATACACACACACATATTTTAACACATACCTTCTCCTATGCACACATACATGTGCATGCATGCCTTCTCCCAATACCCATAGTTTCACTGGCCGAACCGATACCTTCTCATCTACGCATGCACACAGATACAAATCCATAGTAGCAGCATAAATGTAGAGGTTATGCGAATGATGTCATGGTGGTGAGTCAGCGGAACCGCTTATGGGCACTAAGTATACAGCAGGAATTGGTGGTTCCACTTGAGCTACAATTTAGTGCCTCACTGTGCCACGGCTTTGCCAACGCATCTCAACTGATGATGCAATTGCATAACCTCTATGCTTCAAAGTACTAGTACTCATACGCATGGTAGAGTGCAATGTTGAGACTGTCAGTCTGCTTTTCACTCATGATCCAGAGTGCCGGCACAGTCGTGACTATGTATGTTTGTACAGATAGTGCTTTGTTGTATTGTTGTATTGTTGAAGTGTTAACCACAGTAACCGTGACTGAGTGCATTGCTCGTAACCATGATGATTGTGTTTTGCTGATCTGAACCATAATGACCAAGTATAGCTCTGCTATTATCTCATCTCAGGGTTGCAGTAGCAACATCACAATTACTTCCTGACCTGTTGGAGCTGTTGGCAGATGATGAAGAAGGGGTTAGCCTGGCTGCTTTCCAATCTATGGTACCTCTCCTGGAGTATTTTGAGCCTGGTAAGGTGTATAGTCTTTGCCACAGTCAATGAATACTGATGTACCTCAAGTGCTCCGTAATACTTTTATAGATAGCAAAATTGCCATCGTGACCTGTACTGAGCAGTTTCTTCTCTACATTTTCTCACAGACCTCTACACAGTGACAACGTGCTTGATTATTAAATTGATGCCGGGCTCTGGTGCAAGCTGAGCGATCAGGCTGTGTGACTGAAGGACATTTCTGGGTTGTTGCTCGCTTGTTATTCAGATACTTGCAGGAAACGCATAATGAAACCGCTGATGGCACTCTTCGCAAGCAGCAAGACAAAGGCAAAGTCACGGCCATTGACACTAGCAACACTCTCTAAGCAGTTTGGACCATTCATTTACTATGGCAAAGGTACATTCATTCACTATGGCAAAGGTACATTCATTTACTATGGCAAAGGTACATGGCAGTAAGTAGCATAGTCTATGGCAAAGGTACATACGGCAGTAGCATAGTCATTCATTTACTATGGCAAAGGTACATGGCAGTAAGTAGCATAGTCTGAGTGTGGACAACATCCAATCCCATACATGTACATGTAGTTCTTTTTATAGTAGATCTCTTCTAATCTCAGTTGTTAAATTTATTAACCAACCTTTATATTGTATTAGAAGCTTGGTTGTGTTGTATACATGCATCTTACTTCCTCCGTGTCATTAAAATTATTGCTTCCCGGAGCGATTTTTCAAATTTATTTTGTCCACTCGAAGGGCAAAGAAATCCGCTAGAAATTGAGGCAAAGCATTGTCGACGGACTAAGCTTGAGTTGGTGCCCCTCGCTTCGCTGCACTTGCAGCTAAGGTCAATGTCTTCATCAGAGTTTGAGGCAGACCCTTCAGCACTCAGCAGTACGCTGAACAAGACACGCGCTCAAATTCAAGTCAAGAAACTAACTACTACTTCGTTTTCAAGCCATCCATGCCTCCAGGTGGCAGGCGATGACGGCAAACTAGCATTTTTCAAGTACACTGTAACAACCTTTCAGCGGGATAGGGTAAGCAGTTCCGCACAGTCTTTCCTTGGCGAGTGCTTTGCTGATTTTGTGGCTGTTTTCAGACCTGCTACCTTTGCAGCAACATGTGCCACACCTAGTGCATTTTAGGAATTTGAGAACACTTTGTTCTTGCCATCGTCAACGGCAGCATTTCGTATTCAGGAGAGATACCAGGATTCTTATACCCAAGCTTGCAGTCTTGATAAATGCCCACGCGAACGATGTGGGACGGCACGAACTCCAGAAAACGATATGCGCTCTGGGGCGGAATAGTGCAGAGCGCGATGAATTTGTTTGGTGCGGAAGAGAGCTCCAACAAGGTCCGAGACCATCACAGCTTTAGTAACAAATAGACATGGCGCAGGAAGGGCCGCACCAATGTTCGAACACAGAAAACAGCAATTCCGACAGTCTGACCGCTAAGACGAGCAAGTCACAAACATTGCGATTTGCGAAGCGACAATAAGCCCATTGCACATTGCCAAATATGGAAGGTATGAGTACTGCATGTGAGTACGCAGGGATCAGGCAATGCACTGTTCAACACCCCAGACAACCATGTCCAGGTGGCTGCTGTAAGGGGTGTTCATGGTACAAATTACGTCATAGCACAATTTAATGGCGCGGAGGAAGTACAACACGGCACATGCACAAGTACTGTTCATGGAGGTGTTGTATTAGATGATACACGGTCCTGTGGTTTCTTTGTGCTCATCAGAATCACATTGGTGACGGTGATGTCGCTAATGCTGTCATCCTCTGTTCTTGCTGACTCTTGCTCAGAATACATAGACAAGGAGGAGCTGGAGAGCTTACTGGCCATCTACTCTTGGCTGGCCACACAGGAATGCGACGGCTTTGAACGGAGGACATCGCAATCCAGCTCTGATGTAGGTCTACACTGACTGTGCAACTGCTCTATGCATTCGTGATAGCAGAAGGGATAGATCAAGCATGAGCTTTTCCTTGTTGAAAAAATCATGGTAGAATTGCTCATCGAAGCTGCTATAGACAGCAGTATGCAATGAGACCAAGAGTCTGGGTAGGTTAACGAGTCATGCAGCTACTACGTATTGGATCGGCATGATGAAGAATCGTTTAGCAAAAATCTCATGGTAAGAATTACTTGGTAAGAATCGCTGGGTAAGAATCGCTGGGTAAGAATCTCTTGGCAAGAAACGCTGGGTAAGAATCGCTTTGTAAGAATCGCTTGGTAAGCCCCCCTGCTCCTCCTCACATACGTTAATGACCTCCCCTATTCAATTCCCAATATTTCTTTGTTTGCAGATGATACCACTGTCCTTGCTTCCTCCCCATCTCACGCCACCCTGTACCCCAAAGTTCAGACCTGTATCAACGACATTGTGCACTGGATGAGCACTTGGTACCTTAAGCCAAATGTGACCAAAACCGAGCTCCTCCTTTTTCCCCTCCCACAGATCCAGTGCCCATCTTCCGCTTTCCCGATGATCCCGGTCACCCTATCTCTGTAGCACCCCACCATAAACACCTTGGCATTGTCATAGATTCCGCCCTCTCCTGGTCTTACCATGCTGATCATGTGTCGTCCAAAGTATGCCGATCTGTCGGCATAATGTCAAGTCACTTGTCCCATTTGCCCCAAAATTGCCGGATTAATTTTTATAAATCATACATTCTTCCCCTCTTCACGTACGGCTTCCCTGCCTGGTCCACCATTAACAAAACCCACATAGGTAAATTAGAAGTTCTCCATCGCCGTATACTGCGAATCATATTTCGTACTGATCGTTATATCTCAAATCTAGACTTGTATGCTGCTGCATCTACGACCACTCTGCAACATTACCTTGATGCTTCCAAGTGCACCCTGGCACATTCAATTTTTCTTGACCAGCACCCCGCTCATTTGCAGTCCCTTAATTGGTTCAATTCAGGTGGCACCACCCGAAGCTGCGTTCGTCTCCCCCTAGCTAGGTCTACCCTATTCGTTAATTCCCCTTTCTTTTCCTCCTACTCCACGTGGCTCCAACTGCCTCCCAGTGTTAGACAAGCTCCAGATATGCCCAAATTCCGTACCCTCGTCAGACAGCACTTCAGTATCTCCCAGTAAACAAAGTCACAGTCACCACTTCCGCTGCATAGCTCGCTGAGCATCCCATTGCTTTGTAAGTTGCTAATCCCTTCCCACTTTGTGTACGTGCTCTTCATTTTCTTTTCTTTTTTTTCTCTTCTTCCGTGGTTGGTCTCACCCTCTCCTCAATTCAATTGGCTGTCTTGACATGCCACGAGGTGCAGAAATAAATAAATAAATAAGATTTGCGGTACATACACAAATAGGAGATCCCCCAGATAGGCGTTAGCCTTTGGGTAATCCTGAAATAAAGATTATTATTATTAAGATTCGCTGGGTAAGAATCGCTTGGTAAGAATCGCTGGGTACGAATCACTGGGTAAGAATCGCTGGGTAAGAATCGCTGGGTAAGAATCGCTGGGTAAGAATCTCTTGGCAAGAATCGCTGGGTAAGAATCGCTTTGTAAGAATCGCTTGGTAAGAATCGCTGGGTAAGAATCACTTGGTAAGAATCGCTGGGTAAGAATCGCTTAATAAGAATCGCTGGGTAAGAATTGCTTGGTAAGAATCGCTGGGTAAGAATCGCTTGGTAAGAATCGCTTGGTAAGATTCGCTTGGTAAGATTCGCTTGGTAAGAAAGTGAGGAAGTGAATGGAAGAAGAAGGCCTCTTTGTGGGATGTTCAATGTAATTCATCGTGTGAATAGAGAAACATGCAGAGGAAAGAGTGCATATTATCAACAAGATTGCAGTATGATATTATTGGACATAGTGCCATGGGGTAGGTCATCTACTTGATTAGAATATGATGCTTACAGTGTATGGCTCTGAGATGTTGCCTTTGATTCATGAGCTGTAAACTCGATCAGCACAATGCATGGTGATCACATAGATATCTATCAGTGTATTCATGTGCGGCTATAGCTCGGCATGTGTGATGTCCACCGGTATATCAGTGACTAATAATGTCTATGTGGTTCTGTATGCTCTGTTAGATTTTACACTCGGATGATGATGAAGCAAACACACTGGATGATAGGACACAGTGCAGATTTAACTGTGCATACAATCTGCCAGTAAGTATAGCAGCAGCAGCAACACTCTGGCAGTGCTCAGGCCAATGCGTGAATTGTACTAAATCTTAGTACACATGAATAGTTCAATGGTGTCGATGTGCGTGCACTATGCGGCGCCCATCGGCAGCACCTGTGCCTCCTGCCTTTTAAACGGTGTAGGAGGACGGGTAAACAATTACTGCGGCGGGCAGGCACAACAAGCAACTGGCGGCAGTGTCTCTACTTGTTCCTGACTTGCAAGGGTGGCCTTGGATGAGCTTGCACCCAAGGCAGATAGATGGCTTATGCGGCATGCCGTACGCGCATCGCAGTTGCGCGTGCGGACGTGGGGCCCCGCGTGGGAGCCCGGCAGTGCGTACGGCTACAGTGGAGCTCGTACGAGATTGTGCTGGTTTTGGCGTGTCCGCGGACAGCACATTCCCGTAATGTTGCGTATAAAAGCAGGTGCTTATGGCCGTATAAGCCGGGGTTCAAACCCTGCTTCTATTCAAGTTATGCCTCTATTCGAAACATGCTTCTACGTCAACATCTTCAGTCTACACTGTGCAGTGCACATTGTCATGCATGTAGTGTGCAAGTACATGATACCTGCATGCTTCTATTCAAATCGTGCTTCTGTGTCATGACGCGCTTCGAAAAATCGGCTTCTATTCGAAGCATGCTTTTATACGCGACACTACAGTATGATGCGTAAATGTCCTGTGAAGTAGACTATTCATGTAGAGGAGTGCATAATGTACTCCTTTTATGGCACTGCCTTCTGTACTCAGTCTATGGTAGCAGATGGGTTGGACAGTCGCTGACTTCCACTTGGCTTCAACCTGCAGATACTATGAGTTTGTTCAGGCTACTATAAACCTTGATATCCATCTCCTTTGTATTAATAATTATGTATATCTTTATCTGTGTACTGCAGGCCATTGCTGCAGTGTCTGGACATAGTCTTTTTGCAAGCTGTTGTTTATCAACTGTTAGAAGTCTTCAGTTGGACGAGTGTCCACAGGTTCGAATAACCCTGGCAAAGGGACTTCACGAGGTGAGTAGATCCTAGAGTAGTGAGCGTATCATGCCTTCTTCCAGTATCCCCCCCCCCCTTCCCACTCGCACAGTTCTCAATGCGTGCAGGCTTCTACCTGAGAAACTTGCTTCCAGGATCCATGCAGCCCATTCTCCCTCGCTCCTGGATTGCTGTACATGTACTTGCATCAGCACATGTGACATCGTCTGTGCAATCTCGCCTTCTCACGATCGGTGCTGTGTGTGTATGTGTGTATGTGTGTGTGTGTGTGTGTGCGCGCACACACGTGCATGTGTGTGCATATGTGTGTGTGTACATGTGTGTATGTGTGTATGTGTGTGTGTATGTGTGTACACGCACATGCATGTGCATGCATGTGCGTGTGTGTGTGTGTGTGTGTGTGTGTGTGTGTGTGTGTGTGTGTGTGTGTGTGTGTGTGTGTGTGTTGCTGCTGTTGCTTTTACAGGTTGTGCGCCTATCATCACCTGAGACCAAGCCGCTGCTACAAGTAGTGATTGGATTGCTGAAAGATGACAATGCAGAGGTCAGTGATGGGCTCTCTCCACAGACTATAGAATGATTGTCACTGTGTAGAGATAACACCGTGACTGCAGCAAATGATCAGTTTGATGGTTGGACCGTGAACCAAAGTAATATCATGCAAAGGAATGTGCACGGATTCATGTTGTGTTCGGTTATCCTGTTCCTTGTTTGACCTAAACTGACATGC